TTGGAATGACAGTTCATGCCACCCTTGAGATGCATCTGATGGATGTAGTAACTACATATCTATATGGTTCTCTTGATGCAAATATTTACATGAAAGTTCTACTTGGCTTAGAAACAGGAACTCCAAATCGACCTGCTCTAGGACAATATCCGAGTATTAAATTATGTAAGGCCTTGTATGGTTTAAAACAATCCAAATGCATGTGGTATCAACATCTTCGAGATTATTTAATTACAAATAATTTTATAAGTGATCCATTAATCCCTTGTTTGTTTATCAAATGAGATAAAACTTGTTTTGTGTTCATCGTTGTATATGTTGATGATCCTAATCTTGTGGGCATTACATCTGCATGTGTTACAGCTACTAACCTATTTATATGTAAATTTGAGATGAAAATGCTAGGAAAAATAACTTTTTGTATTGGTCTTCAGATTATGCATCTAACAGATGGTAGCATTTTTCTCTACCAACTAATGTATATTAGACAAATCTTGCAAAGATTTAATATGATTGATGCTTATCCATTGTCCATACCAATGGTTGGACGTGGTCGTGATGGTCATTTTTCATACCGCCCATGCGAAGAGGAGGAGGAAATATTGGAAGATCAATATCCATACCTCGCAGCAGTTGAAGTACTTTTGTATTTAGCTACATCTACAAGACCAGATATTGCATTTGCAATTAGTGTTCTTGCAAGACATATTGCACATCCAACACTACAACATTGGAACGGCATCGAATATTTATTACATTATTTAAAAGGTACTAAAGACTTGGGATTATACTATACACAATCCGCAGATCCAAAATTCGTTGGATATTGTGATGCAGGATATAAATCTGATATTGCAACAGCTAAATCTCAAACATGATATGTATTCTTAAGACATAGAGCTGCAATAACATCAAAATCAGTGAAACAAACAATGACTGCAACTTCATCCAACCATGCAGAAATTATTGCCTTACATAAAGCATCTCGAGAATGTATTTGGTTGTGATCAATTGATAAATTCATTCAAACAACCTATGGATTTTCATATGATGATTCTTCAACTATCTTGCATGAAGATAATAGTGCTTGTATTGCACAGATGCAAGTTGGTTTCATTAAAGGCGATAAGACAAAGCATATTGATCGAAAGTATTTTAGTTATATCCATGACTTGATTACTGATCATGCACTTATAATTAAGAAAATTGAATCTACAAATAACCTTGTTGATCTCTTTACCAAAGCTCTTCCATTAAGCAACCATCGTCGACTTACTTATGGCATTGATATGTGGCGACTTACTCTTCTTGAATAAGAAAATTATTGAGCTCTTTAAATAATTAAAGAAAATGATGTTGTATTCTTTTTCCTTCATCTATGGTTTTGTCTTTAAATAAAATAAGGTTTTCCTAGATAAGGTTTTAATGAGGCAACAATTGTTAATCTTGCAAGATCACAGAAGAGTATAAATCATAATTCTATACAAATTTTATATTATGTAAATATTATAATGAGCGAGGAAGAGTGTTGAGATAATTAAATATGGCCGGCGCTCTCCACAATATTTATTGTAGAATACAGTAAATACTATAGCTACAGTATTTAGAGTCTAGTGGAGAAGTATTGTTTATCATCTCTCCTTTTTCTCTTCTTGTATACGAGACACAACCAGATCAATAGATTTTTGTGTGTGAAGCTCTCTCTCCTTAGAAACCCTCTTGTGTGTATGACTTACTACTACTCTTGTGTGTGTGTATGACTTACTATTACTCTTGTGTCTTTCTAAACATTCTCAACAAAAACAAAACAGATCTCAAATCTTCTCACAGAAACTAGCTCGAAATAGATTAGCATCAAGGTGGATGCATTTTCGTGCACATAGTCTAGAAGTTCATATGAATGAAAAGCATTCGTCGTATCCATTTAGAAGCTGCAAAATACCGAATGCAGAAGCGAAGAAGTGCCAATTCCACATAGTTTCATGTCAATTCTGACAACTCCCTGCTTAAAATGGTTAACTTAAATGTTTAAGTTCCTAAGTCAAACGTAACTCACTCCCATTGAATTGACTACCACTTATAATCCACATCCGTTGTGCTAATTTACAACTCATTTTTCACTAATCACTCCCTTAGTAAATCAAGTTGATGCTGCTAGGATTCACATGAAATTCAGGCATTTTGCAACAATTTTGACCGTGGCAGAAATGGGCACAACTCTAAGCTTGAGATGATGATCCTTTTTGAAACATACAGAGGTGTATTATTTTGCTAATGTTTCATGCATTACATAAATAAGATTTTGACATTGTGGCTTCAAGTTTGTGATTCAAAGCTATACGTAAGTAGTTTAGAGGAAGAATTACAAACATTGGAGTGGAGTAGTTCCACTTAACATGATTCTTTTTATGTAATGTTCTATTGTATTGGTTTTAAGTCATATTCTAGCAAGCTTTTGAAGGCATTTGCTAGATATTTTTGGAATTTTATGTCAAGAAAATTTTCATTTTTGATGAGTCTATTCTAAGTTATTCATTTTATTTCAAATAAGATCATATTTCTTGTTTATATGTTATATTATTCTATTGGTTTCAATTATTCAAAACAAAATTCTATTATTATTTTTTTATCATTTATTTATTTGAGGTCTTTATAAAAGACATATTACATATAGGTTAACTAAATTCTATATTTTCTTCATAGAGATTAATTCTTTTATTATATTTTATATCATTTTTAAAAATTAATTAAATTATAGATTTTTTTACTAGTAAGAAATATATTATTTATCTTTTTTTGAATTTCAAATCTTTAGTAAGTTTTCTTTTATTAACAATGTCCATTGATTTAATATATGTAAATATTAGCCTTCTTGAATCCATGAATTTAGTACAAGAATCTAAAGCCACAATAGCTTTATGTATAAAGTCTTTTATAATTAAATCATATGCTTATTTAAAATCCAACTTAAATAGTAATAAGTTTAATTTGGACATGGTTATATAATATTATTTTAGACACCTATTTTACTTAAGAAAATAGAAATGAATAGAAATAAGTCAATATTTGTAAATTACGAAGAATTATAGTCAAAAAAGAATTAAAGAAACTTTTAGACATGTGGTAAATCTATAGGAATACTTAAATATAGCATGTGGCTATAAAAGTATTTTCAAAAAAAATATTTGTGTTGAATGCAACTATGAAGGTACTCTACAACTTAGACAATATATGAGTCTTACTCTTCTTCAAAGCATTTACATGGTTTTCTTATTAACTAGTATACATAGAAATAAGATTGAGACCATCATCAATTTAATCAACTCTATTTTTGTATCCTATTCTCAATTTAAGATATTCTAATTTTATCTTTTGAATCTTAAATTTTCTTTTGCACTTAACAATAGTACTTCTAGCAACTTCTTGTTTTGAAAATATATTATTCTTAATTTCATTTTAATCTTCTAAAGTGTACATAAATTCATCATTATTTAACCAGACCATACAAACTCATATTTTGACACTTTATATGATAAAAGATTATAAAGACATTTGTAATTCCAAATTATATATCATCATATTTAGAGTGACATTAGCTTGTATAAAGTATTGTCTTTTATTACTTTTTTTTTTATATTTGTAATAAGAGTATAAATAATATTTAAATTAATTTTTGTAGAGATTTTTGTTTATCTATGTTGTTTTAGTAGTATTGATATCAATAGTAAAAAAATAATTATTTAATAGAATTATTCTATTTAGTCTTTAATACTTATAAAAGTTGTAATAATCTACTCTTGTATTTGACAAGTGAAATATATTTTTTTAATAAATACAATATTTTAATTTTAAAATAAATATCAAAATAATAATAAAAATGAAGATTTTATTTATTTACATTTCTAATACCTTTCAAATACACATTTGGCATTTTGGAATAAACATCTTTTCTTACTTTTTCTTTTCTTTTTTTCCCCTACAAACAATGCTCACAAATAAAAGGTCTAAAATCAAGTTGGTGGCTGAGATTTATCCTATTTACAACCTCCAAAAGTGCAATCAAGCTTTGTATATTCAAGTGTCCAGTGTATTGATGCTACAACATTCTTCCATCTTCACTTGAAACTGTTACATTTGTCACTTTCCTTGTTGCCACCTTACATTTCAAACAATATAAGTTGTCCATACAACATGCCAATGTTATGGTTTGTCCATTTTTAAGCTTCATATATTGTATTATGTACATACAAAATAATTTTACAACTACAAAATCTGAATATTGCAATGCTTGTCACTTTACAATAATTGGACCTACTCTGCCCTACCCCAAATGCTCATTAATATTAACACTAAAAATACAATGACAAATTAGTTATGTTGTCAAATTCTGGATGTTGGAGTAACAAAAAATTAAATAAATCAAAAATAAATAAAAAGACATTTAACCACTTTCAAATCGTATGGAATGGCCATCGAAAGAGATGATGACGAATTATAGAAGCGAAGGCACTCCGAGGTATTTGGTCATTAACATCAAGAAAAATCAAAAACCAAAATTATAAAAATTATAAAAAATATTATTTATATATATATATATATATATATATATATAAACAAAAACAACAACAACAGTTTGAATCAGCAGGATTAACTTTGGAAAAAGAAGAAAAAAAAATCCCATATCCAGTGAACTCCCACCTTTGAAAGTTACAATTGTGTCTAGTCCTACACGGACAAGAGAGCTCGACTCTCATGTTTAGTTACCAGCTTCAATGCACCGCAATTCAAATGCCACATTGTCGAAGCATTTCAAATGCCACAAATCACACCCACCTTCTAATGGCTGATATACCATTAAAAAGCCACACTTCATTCCTGCGTTTTGCATTATTCTGGAATAGCGAAAATAGATGTTGCAGCCTCGGATCATTAAGTCACGACATGTACAAAGCACCCAGTCAATTGAAACATAGCAATCAAGGTATGCATTCAAACGAGTGTTACTGCTCTGAAGTTGACAAATTCTATTCCATTTTACCAGGAAGGGACAGGGCATATGAAGGCAGGGAGCGCAAGGTAAGCAGTAACTGCACGTCCTCTGTACTTTTTCTAAGAGCTCCAAATTACAGATAGTGATCTACAAGGCATCAAAACTGGGCTCAAAGTATAAATCTTAGGCAACAATAAATCCAACACGTGTCCATTGAACCACTTCCATACGCCCAAAACTAAGCGGCAGTGTCACTACGACGTTTTCACTTTGGAAGCTGACGAAAGGTTTGCCAAGTAGGAAAGAATGTTAAACCCAGGCACGAGAGTCAACAAACCTAGGAATCCAAGCACCTGCAACGTCGTGAATAGGTTCAGCTTCAACCAGAACATGAGGTACAGAACCAGGATACTTGCAATACCACCGTGGAACCCAGCAGCGGCAGCTAGCGGCAATCCGCCGGATGGAAGATTCTTTAGGTTGACGCCAAGTTGCAGGAGGGCGACGAAGAACCCTACAAGTGGGAGCAAGGTCAGAACTAAGAACGCCATCGAGAGATACGTCGGAGGCCTCTTCTCGGGCTGACGGAAGATGTGAGAAATCTCAGGCTTGGGACCAAATTTGGAGACGGGTGCGGATGATGCTCCTTCAGGGCCCTCTGGCAAGTCCAGATCCAAAGACGCCAAAGTCCACAAAAATGAGTTCTCCATGACATCGTCACCGACGATTAGGTCAACAGTATAAACACCCGATTGGTGGTTCAGCTTCTCCACCAACTTTGTGAAGTCCAAAGTGAGCTCGTAAGAGTTTCCTGTCGAAGATTTGATGAGGAAAGTCTGCTCCACGCCACTCTCGCCTCTCAGCTTCAGCATAACCTGCTGGGGTTTGAACAGAGCACCGGATGGACCACTGACCTCAAATGCGAGTTTGAGCTTCTGTAAGTGGGTTGCCGACAATGTCGTCGTCTGCTTAAACTCTAACCTAGCATCCGACTCAGGGAGGACGCTATCGCCCTCTACTACACCAACCTTCACATTGGACACCGAAATGGGGGCAGTCACGGCAATCACAGTGTCCAGGAAACCCTTATCATCGTCCGATGATGCATCAATCCGGAGCTTGTACTTCCCCAAGAAGAGGTCACTTGACGAAAGCCCCAATTCATACTTACCATCTCCAATAGATGCAAAGCTCTGCTCGGAGATCGAAACTGGAGAATCAGACGCGACAGAGTGAACGGAAGCGAGTGCCACTGTAGCAGCGGGAGCAGGCGACCCATCGGACGAGGTCACAGACACCTGAAGCTTCTGCGCATCGGATCCAAGGGACACCGAGGGCGTCACGAGCTCCACAATGAGCCCTCCCTCCACAGCAGCTCCTCCTCCACACAGCAAGCAGCACATTACAAGCACCAACACTGTCGCAGCAGGGGATGACCCCATCGTCATAGCTTCAAAAACTCCTCTCCGATTCTTTCTTCCCTTATCCTTCACACACGAAAAAAAAAAAAACAAAAAAACACTCTAATTCAATTCCACACCCAAGTTCCAAATTCCCGCACACAAGGTTTCCACCATTGACCTCGCAAAACTACCAACACTTTCAAAAACAACGACACACTGCAAGTTAGAGAATGCGGGAAAATAAACGGAAACCCACTTGAGAATGAAGAGGCAGCAGCAGGGGGCGGAGCTTATCAGCGTGGTCGAAGGGGATTGCAAGCACATCAAACCATCGCCAGATCGTGGGTTTCGAGCTGCTGCTGCAAGGGTTTGGCTTTGCAATGGAGCAGAAGGAGCAGGAGGCTTCACAAAAACCAGACTCTTCGGTATAATTACGCGTTATGAACATTTCAAGAGTCTACGCTTCGACGCGGGCGGTATTGCGTATATGGTAGATGCGGAGAAGGACGTGGCCCTCCTTGAGAGTGGCTGACGTGGGCGAAGTGTTGAGCTGATGTGGCACGGTCCTTGACTCTCTGGCAAAGGATTCGACCTTACATTGCTCATTTTAGTGAGTTTGTTGGGTTGCCTTATTAACGCAAATTTGTGCAAGTGTGAATGAATATTTATATATATATATATATATATATATATATGTAGATTTATAGCTAGATAGCATTGACAAAGGGTGTAGGTAGTATGTGATGAATGGAAGATTGTGATGGCAGTAGCAAAATTTTTGGAGGCATTAACAATATCCTATGTTTAGATAAATAACTTATGTATCTAAATAATCAACTAAAATTTGATTTTTATTTCAAAAAATATATAAATTTAAAGGTAAAATCTAATTTATTATAAGATACATTCAGATGATTTAAACAAAATAATTCACCAACTATTTTATTTAATTAAAAAATAAAATTTAAATGGAAGAGTCTATGGAAAAAATCATTAAAAAAAAACATATGCATCAATTTCTTTATAGAAAGCTAGTTGTAATCAACCATATGCACTGATAACAATATATATATATATATATATATTTATAAAGTAAAATTTCATTATAAATTAAAAATTATATGAAAACTTCTTGAAGCTTATTTGTTTTGCAGTAATTAATCATTAAATTATTACTTTTAAAATAAATATGCAACAAATTTAAAATTTTGACAATCATTATTTTATTATTTGATCTTAAATAATATGAATATTAATGATCAAATAAAGAATATAAGACTTTTGAGGTTTACAATCAATTCATATTAAAATAATAAAATAAATCCTTTGATTGATTTAAAATTTATCAACTATATTTCATGTTTTTGTCAAATAAGTATTTTATTTTTAAAATACATGATCTATTCTTACACCGAAAATATAAAATATTAACATTTTTTAATAACTTGTTGTAATGCAAATTCACATGCTAGCAATTTTTTTTCATAAATATGACTTTTAAATCAAATTCTTAAAACAATATTATCTACATTGCTTAAAAAGGTTGTTGAAACCCAATTAATTTTCATAATCCTTTCTTATTTTTTTTAAATCATTCATCCCTTCTTCTACTCCTCTTTTCATTTTTGTTATAAATTCAAGCTTACAAAAGTCCAAATTTCTTGAAAGTTCCACTTGTACCAATAGGAGTCCTTCAAGTTAGTTTAAGTTATTAGTAGGGAATTATTGCATACTTTTCTAAAGTCATATTTCCTTTTTTTAAAATCTATTTGAAACAAGTGACTATTTTGTAAATATTAGCACACTATGAAGAGATTTACTAACTATTGTTTCAGTTCAAATTTTATATGTATATATATATATATATATATATGTTGCAACCAATATTTTTTTTCACTATCAATAGTTTTAGCAAATGTAAAGCCAATGACAAAATATAATGCAATTGCATTATATAATTTGGTACCATCTTTAATAGGTCAAATTATATTTACAAACTTATTAAGAAATACCAACAATAGCTAAATATATATATATATATATATATATATATATATATATATAATTTAGAATGATAAAGTATTTTATAGGAAACCAAAAAAGCCATAAAAAACATTAATATTTCTCAAGATAAGTACCTATAAACTACAAAAAAATTACTATAGAACAATAATAGACATGACGTTGTTGATATTTTTAAAAAATTATTGTATAAATTTATAGCAAATATTAAAAAAGAAAATAGAAAAAATACAAAGAGAATCTTTATTGCTTCTACACTCGTATCTTTTTATTTAAAAAAATATTTTTTTTCTATTTTTTTTTAAATACCAAAATTGATTATTTTTTGTTAATTTTAAGTAAGGTCCTTAAAAGACCTTTCATTCCAAAAAATCATATCAAAGGTACATATTGATATATACTTTAAAAAGATTACTTTAAATCCTAAACTAATTTTACAATGATTTGGATAAATATTGTACTTATGGAGTTACTTAAGAATTAAAATTATAAAATAGAAAAATCTAATTTTTAAATAAATTTTATGTTTTTTTATTAGATATATTTTTTATATTTAAGTAAGATTTGTATTTATAGCAAGTATTTGAAAGTAATATATGTAATTGCCTTGAAAGTCTATATAATTCATATTTGTATTTTTTATTTTTTAAATAATTTTTTTTACCTATCAAACATCATACAGAAAGTTTTATTTAGATTTATTTTTTAAAATACAAAATTTAATAAATTTATTAATAAAGATATGTTATAGAACTTACTAAAATATGAAGGCAATTGTTTTTATTGCTACAAACATTATAAATAACTTCAAGTATAAATCTCTTCATAAATATCTATTAGGTTCTTTTTGGATTTTATATGTTATATTTCTTGTAAATTTATAATTGAATTTTAAGTTGGAAGTTATTAAAGAACTAAGGTTTTGAACTTTGTTATAAAATTGAGAAAATAAGGGCATAATATATGTAGAAGAAGGTTTTTACAAATCAAGAAGCTTTTCTATTATAATTATTAATTTATATATTCATGCAATCATCTTCAAATAAATTTTAACATGTGTATGTTTGAAATATTAAAGAACATAATATTTCAACACCATATAAAATATCACTAAATCATCTTCACATTAAGAAACATTATTACATACGATTTATTTATGTTAAAGATGATGTGGCAATAAAGTGGTAAGATAAATGTGTATACTTAAATTTCATTTTGATACTTGACATACTCAGCCTAAGACGATTAAATTTGAATTTTGAATTAAAGGCAAGTTTGTAAATTTAAACAAAACCAGTAGAACAGTAACATGTACATAATTCCAAAAAGAATATAGAAACATATATTCCACGACATCATAAAAAGAAATATAATTGAAACACAAGTTAAGTTTACAACATTAATCAATTAAAATTGGAAGTTACATAGAAAGAATTGGTTTTAATTCAGAAAATGATACAAAATCATGATATACATGTTAAAATATTCATCTACGACGTAGCTATCATTCTATGAGTACTTTCGACAAGAAATGAGAAAGATAGCTTAACATGTATGCAGAGCTCAACGAACGCATTTGAATCGTGTTAATTTGCATGCAGGTATCTGCCATGTACTTTCTTTTTTTTTTGTTTTTTTTGTCCAGGCTGTGTCCGTATCATGAATAATTCCTTCGTTGCTGAATTAAACCCTTGCAGAGCTTCCCAAAACAAGGCTCCACTCATATTTCCATGCAACCCCACATTTCTAACTAGTTTCTACTCATGGAAGCTTTTAATGCAACCACACCAAGAAACAAAATGACTCCATCTTTGACGCCCAAGACGTTAAATTTCCATCAAGGACAAACTATATTTGTTAAAATCGCATTACCTTCTAAAAGAGGGTTTCAAGACAAAGATGATCACAAATCAAGAGGGTTCCGTTGCAAGGTTTCAACTCAAGTCAATAATAAAAATCCTGTGTCCTTGCTTTAACCACATTTAGGATACACGTTGAGGAATCAAAATATGCTATGGTCATAAACGAAGCACAGATAAGCCCCGTTTTAATCTACCTACGCCGCTACGCTCAGCACGATCCCTGGGGAAACATGTACTGCACCTCAAAAACACGTCTGATGTACATCTAAATTGCTCTGGACAAATATCGAGCTCTCTCGGACGAACACAGATGAAAACGACTTTCATGGACGGGTCAAGTCTCAAAGGCAGAAGAAGCTCATATAGTTCACAAGATGTGATCATGAATTGCAATAAGCAACCCTCCTCCACATAGTAATTCTTGAAAAACTAAACCAAATCAGACTTTCCTTTAAATAAGAAGCTTCTTCAGTCTGGCCAACGCTTCACTAGCTGTCTTATTGGTAGGTTCTAAGATTTGAGCTTGCCTAAAGTCTGTTCACACACAACCAACACAACAGTGGCATGTAAGTATGCATCAAAAAAGTCCACAAATGATCGTGATATGTCCTAACCAACACGAAATGAAAAAATCCGTTGTTTCAGGTGTAACTTTTAATTGACAGACTGGCCTACAAGGTCCAAAGAGGAGATGTTTCTTACCATCATTAGCCTCTTTATAGTAACCTAAAAATTCACGAGCTGTGCCTCTCCTTAGGTAAGCTTTCACACTCTGCAACCAAAACAACCACATCATGATACTACTCACAAAACGATGATATGATGTAAAGCATCGATTCCGAATAAAAATCAACCGAACAAATGAACATAACCAATTTAAGTAGTCCATGTTAAATCCACTAGCGTTGGTGAGTTTAGAGTGATTCAATCCACTAACCTTCTTGTCAAGGCCAAGCGCTTTTGTGCAATCCGCTTCAGCTTCTTGAAAGCTGGACGGTAATGAAAGAAGCCTTAGTCAAACAACTAAATAAGTATAACGAGAAATCACTAAGGTATACAAAACATGATCAGGACTTGTAGTTGCACATTACTAAACAAGAAACGCGTATGCAATGATAGCGTAAATAGTGTATTTAATGTTTGAAAACCTCACCTGCATAGCTGAAGATATGCCATGGCACGATTATTGTAGAACGTAGCATTATTCTCATCCATCCGAATTGCATCAGTGTAATGACTAATGGCCTTCTTGTAATCCTTCTCCTTGAACGAAGCATTGCCCTACAACAAGAAAACAGAATACGGTATAATAATACAAAACAGAATTAATAAGGCTACTTAAACCGATGCTCAACAAATCTAACTGTTCAAAATGATGACCAATCTATTAAATAAAGGGTACTCCAGAGGTTTAAAATTTTAACACACAAATTTGACAGTATGGAGAAAGAAGCAGGAAGAAGATTTTCTGGTAAATAATACGGTACTTGCCCAAACATTCTCATAACTTCCAGCACAGCCGAAAAGAGGGCAACACATTCAGACCTTCTCTTTGGCCATTTCGGCAGCTTCCGCAGAAAATCGATCGGAGGCACCCTTTGCTTCTTCTTGAATGGTGGGATAAGCAGTCAACACTGTATCCAACAAAAATCTATCAGACCCCCGTTTAGCGAGCAAAGATACCGCAGTAGGAACATTGTTGTATTCTCCAACCGGGACGCTCACCTGAAACGTTTAATTACACTTTCAACGTGTTACTTAATATAAACACAACCATCAAGGGCAAAGAACTACATTCATCAATAATTGCACCACCCAATAAATTAATACATGCACCATCGAACACACGAATCCAAGTCTCTACAAATACTTCCAGACATCTAAAACACTTGAGCTCACGCATCAAGGGTCACGAACCAACCTGACAGCAACCCGACATTCCTGATACAGATAATAAATCAAATGCTCTCGCACGGAATTCGTCGGGAAAATCTGCTTTTATGCCCAACTTGGGAGGTATGTCAGGGACAGTTGGCATTACTAATATTGTGTCATTCTGTGACAAAATCAGGCATTTTAGTTGTAAGTCACGAGTTTCTACTGTAACAGAACTACCACGTACCACAAAAATGGTACTTAACTAATGTATATGCATACGTATCAGCAATGAAGAGCCTACAACAAACCAAAGCACGTCTGAGAAACGTACGAAAGCAATAGTCAATCTGAATGACTGCCAACATGGCTATGAGCAATACTTAGCTTATCAACAGTGGATACATTCCTTCAAAACTACCGATTCAAAAAGATTTACCTTTAGAAGGTCGTTAATGGCAAAGCGAGCCTCGTTTCTAATCTGTTGCACTAAAGACACCTGATCTCCCTTCATGTCGAGAGCAGCTTGTACACGGGCAGCTATGTCAGAACTAAGGTCAGGCTTTGCATTCTCTAACCATTCTTGATGGTTCTCTTTGAACTCCCACCTGCAAGGACCACATGAATGCTGGTTTAATTTCTCATACAGCAACCAAATGTGCCGTTGCAATCAACAGAAAAGCAACATTGCAAAGACGAATGAGTGATGCATGGATAAGCTATACTGAAGAACTGGTTCCAATCAATCATGTCTCGTAAAATCCAGAAGAATTATACGTCAAAATGCACCCCGAACCTGGATTAATCAAGCACGTTCAAAACCTTTGAGGCTTTATTACAGAAGTCCATACGCATACCTTTGAAGCAACTGCATAGCAGTTCGAAGGAGAGTAAGTGCCCCAATAGGAGACCCATTGCTAATTTCCTTTTCCAATTCTTTCAGGCTTGGCACATTCCGCCTAATAAAGTCTCCAAGATTGATGTATTGAAGAACTTGTCCTGGACAACAGTAATAAAAATATTAAATTTCCTGAACTCTGTTGCATTTAGGGGTCACGACGAAATAAGAACCGCCTAGAAAGTGAGAATTCAGTTCCTGAAAAACACCTGGAAAAATGGGAAAGAACTTACGGCCAAGCAGCTTCTGGACTGATCGGATTACTGCACCCACAACGTCCTCATTGGGAATCAAGGACAGCTTGAAGCAATCATCAGCAATAAGTACACGCCGCGGCTGTTTAGAATCCGAGTAAGGGAGCTGAAGTAAAGCATGTCCAACTTGCCGCAAAGTTTTCGGATCCTTTGCAAACCAACCTGAATTCACGAGCCACTCATAATCAGCAAGCAAGAAAAAGAGAGATAAATCCTCTACCAAACTTCACATTAGATGGAGGCAGATATCACTACGTGGATAAAATAAAATTTATTACCAACAGTGTCAAAACTTTGTGCCATTGGAAGAACTCCAGATACTGAAATGGCTCCATGAGAAGGACGAAATCCTAAAATGCCACAAAACGCTGCAGGTACACGCACACTTCCTCCAGTATCTGTCCCTGGTAATCGCAGCAGAAAGAATATGTCAGTCAAAAAATACAGACCAAACACATAAGTGAACAATACATTATGAGTGGTTAAGAATCCTGCAAAAAATATCACACATTGATCGACAATCTAACAAATTTTCAATTCAAAAGTCAGCTGCACGCACTGACCTAAAGAAAAGTCTACGCAATTGGCAGCTACTGCAACGGCTGACCCACTGGATGACCCTCCCGGAATCCGATTAGGTGCTGCAGGATTTACTGGAGTCCCATAGTGCTTATTTTCTCCGTTAATGCTGCACATCCACATTATTTCAACAGGCTTCATCTCAGAATGCACAAATTAAAAATAAAATAAAATAAAAACCACTAACCCTAAGCAGACTGCCAAACTTTCGAACTCGAGAATGCGTAGAATTGGTAGGTATTCAGTAGTTTATTACAGTTCAATTGTTTGTATCGACAATCCCTTGTGTTACTATAATAATATCGAAACCAAAAGCATCTAGCTTTCCTGAAGACGCTTAGATATTGACCTGTAAGCAAGCTCGTCCATATGAAGTTTACCAACACATTTAGCACCCGCCTCAACGAGCACTTTAACTGCGGGGGCAGTGACGGTGGCGGGCTCATGGGTCTCGGCCCAGACTGGATTACCAAACCCAGTGATAAAGCCTTCCACATCGAATCTGTTTATCATTTCCACAAATATATTCCACACGATCTAAGAGCACATACATGTACATCACACCACACTGCAACTGAGAAAACAAAAGGAAATCGTAACATCAAAAATCCTGGAAAATCCTGATGAAGTATGTTCCTTGTATACACAATACTTTACATTCGCAACGCATTCTCCTACAACAAGTGAAGAATAAAAAACAACGCCTCAAAGGACGGAGTGAAAAGGAGTGGCAGAAGAGAAAGGCAGACGGCACGCTCAAATCTGGAGGCTCCCAAAATTCCTGGCAAAATTGGTTTCCGAATAGGTACGATACTCTTGATTGATGCACATTAAGTGATCGCTGACAATAAACCCCTAGCTCTAGCATCCTGACTTACTATCAAGACATCATACCCTCAATTCTTGCATTTTCTCACTATTGGTGATCAAAGAGAATGGACAGACTCAAAGAATGATAGGAAGTTAGTTCTTACATGTCCTTCACAGCGAATGTAAGCCCCGAAAGGGGAAGTGGAGCGCTGGGGGGCGGAGGAGGGGGTGGAGGGAGCAACTCAAAGTAATATATGAAAGCCCCATTATCCTTCTTGCTTGAAGATTTCAGGGTCCGCCTGAGAATGAAGAATCCCGCAATTCCAAGACCTAGCAGGACTCCGATCGACCTCGCCACCACTGCGTCGCTCGGCATGTTTCGTCCGCTGCCACGGAACAAACCGCGAATCGATTGAAGGAGCTCCACGCTGGGCCAAACGATTTGATCACCCTAACACGTACAAAACCAAATGCTAACTAAGAAACCTAACCCTAGCTCATTCACCGCCTGATGAATACCTCTGGTTGCGAAGCAAAATTTATCTCAGCTTCACGTCCCAAAATGCCCTTACTTATCACCCCTCCCTTCGCCAATGCAAAGTCCAAACTCCAGCCAAAAAATTCCACACAATTCTCAAAACAGCATGGTAGCTGCATAGCACCACGTCGCAAGTCATTCCACAGCAGCGCAATGATTCAATTCTAGCTCTGGACTTCTACACCTGATTCACAACGCCGATCCAAAGAATCGCTCCTATGATCAAAATCACGCCATTGTCATCTAGCCTCCCAGAGTCTGGATTTGCATTCTTCGAATCTCCCAGGACAAGATCGCTCCATACGATCCCTTCGATTCTAACAACAAGTACCTGCAAACAAGCTCGCACCGCTAATATTAACCCTCCCACTCCACCTCTAACAGAAGATCAGACGATCGGGGCGTCGGAGAAAGAGTTCTCGTTCTCACCAGATGGTTCACCAAATCGGGGATTGGAATCCTCGATTCCAGGGGGCCCGGTTCGAAACGAAAGACGAAACGCAGCTGAAGGGTGCGAATCACACACATGCCATCACAGTGTGGGAATTGCATGAAGGAACAGGCACTCCCGGCACGCGTCTCATAAAGAATGGGGCAGCAGCATGGTCCCATTAGGGTTTTGCTTTATTTGCTTGCGCAGCGACACCGCATGGCTTGTTTCGTCAACAGACTTCATCATCCACTTTTTGAGCCCCACGCTCTCCAAAAATAGGACACCCCAACTTTTTCTTTTACGCCTAATTTCAGCATGACACGGCTTAGTTGCAAATGCGTGCGGGAATTCCTAGAGGAGGACATGAAACGAGAAAGCATTCAGATGGTTTCCTTAACCGACGGGGCAGCCTGCGACGTCGGTTGCCACCTCGAATTTTACTGCAGATATGGTTTGTTCGAATTTATGCTTTGGGCTCTTTCCCAAAGTTTTTTTTTTTTTTTTTTTTCCTACAGATTGGGCACTTAACCTGGCTGATTTTTTACTATCTCCCGCTTTTCCCGTTCGTTTTATCATTAGTGCGCAGAGTTAGTTGCAATCGACGAGTTTTCATGAAAAATTTCTTAGAGAATTCCTCCCAGAGGTCTGCGTTTGAGGTGCATGGAGACGCGACTGATGTGTGGCTCCCTGATCAAGGAGAGTGTAATCGGAAGTAGCATTGAATGTCGATCACAGAAATACCCACCAGGTGGCGATTGTGGACTCTGCTGGCCAAGTGGCTAGAAGCCGTTTTTTGCATTCAAGCAGTAAGCTCTTGCACGCCCACTTCGAAAGCGGGGCCTCATAAAGCGTCACGCCCGTCACTTGGTCCCTCATCCACTCTCACCTGTGTTTTTTTCTCAGCAGCGCCATGTAGAGCTTCCGCTGCGGCGACGCCATGAGCATCCAACTAATACGTCGGAATCGGTAATCTGCTCATGTTTTTGGCAACGCCTAATCGGTCAGAAGTGCAAGGAGGGAGTCGTCATGGCTGTTACTACTCTGATGTCCTTGCAGGCCCATCTACAGCAAAGTTCTTTGCATCGTAGTGTTGGTAATTCAGCTCCACACTCTGATGGAGTCAGAAGTCGTGCAATTCGTGGAAGAGCTCATGTTTCTGTTTCCAATAATGTTGTGGGTGAGGAGCGACATGTCAAGTCTTTTCGGGACAGGGGTTCTAGTTTTGGAGATTTTTGTTTGAATGTGGCTACAAGGATAAGGCACGGAACGTATCAGTGCAGGGCAACGCCACTGGAAGAGGAAACCCCGAGTCTGTCCTCCGTGGGTGTGGAAGAGGAAACGGAGCTTCGGGAGCCTTTGGTGCCGGAGGATAAGAAAGACAAGGATAACATCGATTTTGACTGGAATGCGGTCCTCTTGCCTTTCCTCTTCCCTGCTGTTGGGGGTTTGCTCTTTGGCTACGACATTGGGGCCACTTCGGGGGCAGCCGTGTCCATCGTTAGTCCGGAGCACAGCGGCACAGATTGGTACAACTTAAGCTCACTGCAGACAGGGTTAGTTGTCAGTGGCTCCCTCTATGGTGCCCTGGCAGGCTCCGTGTTGGCATTTGGCATTGCCGATTTTCTGGGGCGGAGAAAGGAGCTCCTGCTTGCAGCTTTCTTGTACAGTGTTGGCGCTTTAGTCACCGGCTTTGCCCCGAATCTCGCAGCTGTCGTTGTAGGGAGACTGATTTTCGGGCTTGGAATTGGCCTTTCTATGCACGCTGCTCCCATGTATATTGCAGAGACATCCCCGAGTCAAATTCGTGGCACTCTTATCTCTCTAAAAGAGGCTTTCATCGTCGGGGGGATTTTGTTAGGTTATGTCGTTGGTAACAACCAGGTAGACGCCATCGGCGGATGGCGCGTTATGTTTGGATTCGGAGCTCCGATTGCAGCTCTCATGGGGGCGGGTATGTGGTGGCTGCCACCGTCGCCGAGATGGCTCCTTCTCCGAGCAGTGCAGGGTAAGGGCAACGTGAAAGCCTTAAAACAGGAGGCAACGTCTGTGCTGCAAAGACTTCGAGGACCTTCCTACACCCAAGAATCGGCTGAAGCGGAGTGTGTGCAGCAGTGGACTGGGTTGAAAGCTGCGTGCGAAGGAGAAGATGCTGATGTCTCTTTCTCAGAATTGTTCCAAGGGTCTAACGCGAAAGCCCTTTTCGTCGGCACGGGGTTAGTGGCCTTCCAACAGTTCACGGGCCAGCCGAGCGTGCTATACTACGCTGCCCCCATTCTGCAAAGCGCAGGATTCGCTGCTGCGTCGGACGCAACCAGGCTTGCCGTCTTGCTCGGGTTCTTCAAGCTCATCATGACGGCTGTCGCGGTCCTCAATGTGGACAAACTCGGCCGACGCCCATTGCTCCTCGGCGGCGTGGCAGGAATCACCATAAGCTTAGCCACCCTTGCGGCATATTTCTCCTTCTTGCAAGACTATCCTTATCTGGCTGTAGGTTCCCTCCTACTCTATGTTGGTAGCTACCAGATCTCCTTCGGACCTATTTCGTGGCTCATGGTATCTGAGATATTTCCTCTTCGGACACGAGGACGAGCGCTCGGTGTGACGACGTTGGTGAACTTTGGATCCAATGCTCTGGTTGCACTAGCGTTTGCTCCTCTCCAGGATCTCGTGGGGGAGTCTTACACGTTTGTGATATTCGGGATCATTGGTACGCTTGCGTTAACCTTCATCTACACAAGCGTTCCAGAGACGAAGGGTTTGAGCTTAGAGCAGATCTCGGCTAAGCTGGAGGAGAGTTAGAACTCGTCGTGGTGAATTGGTTCTTCAAAGATAGGACAGTCTTTCATGGTGGAAATGAAACGTTTGTATGTATGCCCTTGTATAGTCTCATAAAGTATTTGTAAACAAATATCACAATCGGGGCCTCAAGAATGAACTTGACGTATTGCTTGATGAAATTTCAAAATCCCAAATCGAGGCACATTCCGAATGAGCATGTGATAAAGCATAAAAACTTAGGATATATCGTGCCATGCGTTCAGCATAGTAATACATAACCTCGCTTTTCATCAGTCTCACTACCTTCACATGCTTCACATTCTATTCTTGTGAAGATTTCCCAGACATTCACTACATGGCAGGCTTAAATTGCCTGAATCTCCATCAGTACAGTGTACAATAATTCATCTACACATTCTGATTAACTCAAAGCTCAGCCTCTGAGGCCGCGTCAGGGGCATAGCTAGAATACGCCTTGATAATCTCCTCATAGACGTGAATTCCCTTGGTATACTCCTCCGCATTCAGAAACTACACATGACACCAGGGCATTAATACTACTACTAACAATGGCAGCAAGACATTCGTAAAGAGAACAGACATGGTGGAAATCGTGTTGAAAATTTGAGTGTGCGTACCTCGTTATGATCGTGCAGCAAAACAGGTGTATTAGCCATGGGTGAGAACCCGAAGGCAACGATCCCCTCTTGACGGACATAACGGGAATCTGTGGCTGCGGGAAAAATCTCCACCTTGTTCAGCTTGCCACCAGCTTTGGCTACAGCGTCCTTGAGGAGTCCCCACCATGGATTGGAGTCATCTGCTGCAGTAACTGTGGGGTTGCCATGCTTATCACGGGGAAATACTTTCTCTGCAAACTGGCACAAACAGAATTCACCAACGGCATTGGTCAGCTTACAGCTAGCTTCAATAGTGTAAAAACCTACAAAAATAATTTGACAATTCATGGATAGAGCGTGGAGTTTGCACTCACAGAGTAAGTAAAGTTGCGAGAAGCAGGCGCCCACTCTTCGTCAATGCGGCGCTGAAGATCTTCAATGTCGCCCAGAGGAGGAATGCGGACGTCAAATCCAGCTTCGGCTTCCGACGGTTGCAGATTCATAACAAACCCCTGCACAAACCAAAGTCAAAATCCAAAAATAAGGAAAAAGAAAAAAGATCCTTCGCCAAACCCCTTCATGCAAACTCAGAAGCACAGCACTGAATCCAATTATGTAACCAATGCTTAGAAAGAGAAATACTCACAATCGGGGTTGGGGTTCCAGCTTTGAGATATACACCGTTGATTGAGGTCACCTCGCCCTCTGCTTTGAGCCCATTCTTCACAAGATTGAACTGCTCCTCACGGAATTTGCTGATAGACTCCAAGCTCTTCATCAGGTTCTCAAACGCACTGTTGTCATACAATTTGGATCCATGCCCAGGAGGGCCGGTCGTCTTGATCTTCAGCCACCAAGGCGACCTCTCTCCGTTGAAAACGCGGTAACTCTCACTTGGGGACGCCAACCCTTCGTCTAAGGTTACGCCAACGTTGAGCTTCTGAAAATCCTCAGAGCTGACAAAGTTACCGGCTCCATCCACCCCACCGATTTCTTCGTCAGGGACGTACGAGATGTAGATGGTACGGGTGGGCTCAAACCCTTGGGCTTTCAAGTTGCGAATGGCTTCAAGATATTGCAATCCCACGCATTTCATGTCCTGTGACCCTCTAGCAAAAATATTTCCTTCTTCATCCTGCACATCATGTTACAAGCATGAAAACGTAAAACTCCGAAGCTCAAGGTTGGCTACGGCGAGAACATTATGATTAGATATGGCTGTGCACATACCTCGACAGCAGCAAAAGGATCGTGCTTCCACTTGGACTTCTCCGCAGGCACCACGTCTACATGAGAGTTCAACAAGACTGACGGCAAGGAAGGATCCTTGCCCATCCAGGTAAGCAGAACGACAGGTTTACCCTTCACGTACTCCAAAGTCCGAGCCTCGAGGCCAATCTCCTTAGCTTGAGCCAGCAGGAACTCAGTCGGAGGTTGGTAGTCTGGCAACGGGTGCACTGTGGCGATCCTCAGAAAGGTCTTGAACCTTCCCACAGGATCCGAATCACTTGAGCTGAAAAGGCTGCCGCAGCATGGCGCCACTGTGATGCACAAAATGCAGCACAGTAGGGTAAAGTAGCGAGACCCCATTCTTACACTTGACCTTCACAAATCTTGATCTAAACTTGCATCTGCACACACACAATAAATAAATAAATAAATAAACAAAAACACTCCTTAGTGGAATCAAAATCTACCCGTAAGTTTGCCCATGCAGGAATGCAATTTGGGAGCAGAATTATCCAAAACCTACAAGTGACGAATAGAGAATTCCAAGCCCAAACAGACAGTTGACAGATCTCACAACTAAGTGCAAATTACTCCATAAAACAAGTCATGGCGTGTCATGGTAGCACCGAACAAGCTTCAATCAAATTCCACCAATTACCGAACCTCTCGGAGACACACCACGAATTTCAAACCCCAACTCCTAAAAGAAGCACTGTCGCATGAACATGCGACGCCGAAACAAATGGAACTCAGTCTGCGAGGCGAATTCGTAGATACTAGACAAAGTTAAATGCAAAAAAATCCCACTGACCTGTCACTGCTTGTCGACGCCGCGGTCGCACCTCTCAAAAATTTCTGCCGAGTAATGGATCCCTGGGGAGCTCCTTCCAAGCTCAACAAGCTTCTCAAACCTGTCGTAGCCAGAGAAACAACAAAACTCCGCAGGTCTGCAGAAGCAAAACTAACGCAAAGAGGATCGAAAAGCAAGCCTAGACGGCACAGTAGGGTCGTGATTTTCGCGAGGGGGATACAATACGCCTGGAATCTTCTCATCATAGAATCAATTCGTAAAATTCCGCCCCAAAAATATTCATTCCTATTCAGAATTCCGACGAAGATGTGAGAATCTAATCGCAGCAGAGTCACGCGCGTCGTTCACAAATTGATGATAAACCACGAGCAACCCATGTTTGCCGTCGTCGATACTCGACAACTTCGACGGCTTGAAGCTTCGCGTCGCATCCCTTAAACCCTAATTCAGCCCTAACCCTAATTTACTTTAAGGTTAAATTCTCAATTACCCGAACTGAGTTGAAGCTTTGAAGCATGAACTCTGTCCAAATGTGTCAAGTGTGTGATAAGACATTGACATAATGTTATAAAGAAAAGATATGTGTGATTATATACATATATAGAAATTATGTAGCATGGAATTGGATAAGATTTTGATTTTGTATTGTTTTTTAATCACTATTATATATTTCAACTTAGTACATGTTTGTGTTTGGAAGACTGATAAAAACCATATACCTTGTAATATAAGTGATCTAATGAAAGGGTGTCTCCACATTTATGTTTTAAACTTAAGAACTTCAAAAAAAGTTTATATAGTCACATGACACATCTAAATATACATTTAATTCAAACTCATATTTAAAAATATATGTTAACGTTTTTGAAATACATGTAAAATTTAAAAACATAATCTTATTTACTTCAATTTACTTCTTAACTTTTTTACAATTTAATAAAATTTTAGACACATTAAAAGATGATTGTCACAAATTCTATTCTATGCTTTGCACAAATATGGTTGATAAGTCCATTGATAAGTCCATTGAGCCATTGATAATATTCTATATGCATAAAAGAAAAACATCTAGTTGTTTAATTATTTTAAAGCTTTAATGTCTACCTTCAATTAATACATTGAGAATGCTATTAGATATGATGTCCACCTCTAACAATACCACTAAGCACCAATAGTTGCTTCTATTGTCAAATCACCAAATATATTACACCTTACCACTTATTTCGAAAATAACATGTTTTTCTTTTAAAAACTATATTTTAAATTTTCACTATAGAGATTGTAACAATCTTAATAGTTCATATGTTAGACTTGCAAATGACAACTCTTAAATGAGTCCAATAAGTATTAATTCATGATTTTACTACAGAAAAATCTACAAAAAAGTTTTAAGTACATATAAAAATATAATAAATAAATAATAAAGAATAATAAAGATTAACTGGTAAACTTATTTCTACCATATTTAATACCATATTGATTTTTCTATTAATAATCAATTTTTAGTTTGGATTGATGTTGTCAATAAAAATCATTAATCATTTTAGTGCATTTGTAAGATATATACATGGCTGTAATGTGCATTTATTAACATTACATGTGTACCTACAAACAAAATATTCCAATTTGCTTTGCTACTTCCTTCAACAATGGAATTATTCAACCTTATAGTCTTAGCTAATACATAGTTCAAAAAGAGGTAATTTCTTTTCTTTTTTCTCCAGCATGTTTATTTTTTTATAATATTTCATAAATTAAACAAGAAAAAATCAATTGGGTTTTTGTTAATTTTGGTAAATATACTCTACATACAACAAAATTAATCTCTCTTAAAATAAATAATTATCTAAAAAATTAATAATCAAACTTGCTACAATGAACAATGGTTTCAATACCATAAAAAATAATCAAATTTTATTACCAACTTTAAGTTAAGATTATTGCTATTATTAAAAATATATCAATATTAATAATTCTTTGTTTTTAAATTATTTTATACTTTATCTTTACTATTGTTTGAAGTCTTTAAAATCTACTTGTGAAATATTTTACTACAAGATTATAGGATTTTTAAAAGTAAAAAAATACCAAAATATAAATAAATATAAAATATAATCAATAGATGTTTTTGAATAAATAAATAAATAAATAAAAATATTTAAAAATCTTAAATAAAACATTTAGTAATTTCAAGAAAGTGTTTAAAGTTTTTCTTTTAAATAATTGATTCTTTGATATAATTTTGTTCTATCATTTTGTTCTATTCACATGTTTGGTTTATCTATTGACTTAAGAATAAAAAACTAAAGAAAAAATCATCTCTAGTTTTATTATCTTGAAGAATGTCTTTTCAATTTATAAAAATATTGAAAACTTGAATGTTAAATTTTAAAAACAAAGCTTTTGACTTCATACATTAATTTTTTTAAAAATTGAAAAAAAATCATCCTAATGATTATAGAAATTTCATGAATAATTTAAGAATAGAAATTTTGTATTCAATAATAAAGAATTTCATTAGGCAGCATGTATGCACGTATGTACATATTAGCAGTGTATATGAATAAATACGTATATATGTATGTTTGAATGTATGCATTCATGTGTGACTAGTATATTATTTGTACTTTTTCTTAATTCTTATGCATTTCATGCACAATCAATAAAGTCCTTACAACTTTTTTGATATCATTAAATGATTTTATTACCATATGATTCCAGTGCATCATTGTGAAATCACAATCACTTTCCAGTTTTCTCGGGCACATTTACAAAAAGATTTTTCATATTACATGCTAACCTTAAAGAGTCTACATACTCTTAGATTTTACTTTCTTACACATACAAACACCATCTCATTAGATTTCCCGAACCGAATCGAATCGAATCGAATTTCACGATCAGAAACACTTTGATACTGGGAGTATTATCAACAATGTTTAATATATATATATATATATATGTTTTATTTTATCGGTACAAGTATCTCCATACACACACACACACACACACCCACCCACCCACAAAAAAAAGTGACAAGAAAGCCAATTTCATAAAGAGTAGACTAGAAAGCAACATGGCGAAATTCTAGGTAAATGGCAGCAGAACTCAGTTCATGGTTTCATGAACCTTGGGCATTGTGATCCCATTTTGTTCACCGTTCTGTATTTTAGAAGCACTGGTTCAGTTTGTAGAAGGAGGATTCTAGGGTACCCAACTGCAGAATTGCAGTGTTGCCATGCTCGAATGCGTCAGTGCTAGACTCGCCGTCTTGCTCTGAAACTTGACGCGCAGAAAAAACTAACTCACTGCACTGCATGGAGCTTGAAGCGTCACAAGAGGAAGGGGAAGAGGAATCTGGTTGAGCACAATTGTCCTTCCAGCAGTAGATTTTAATACCTTTGTGCCGGTTGGTTCTAGAGGAGCCAGGAAGGTGAAAGAGTATGGGTGGCATGTCCTTTAGGGGGCAACGCCCCCATGGTGATGGAGAATGCCAGAGCGTCTGAGAAGCCGTAACCTTCTGAAGCTGACCATCTTGTCTAATTAGTAGCTTGTGAGACTTGGTTGAGCGGATTTGGAAGGATTCAATGAATGAAACCTCTGCAGTTGAGTTGAATGACAACCTGTGTGGAGATCGTGTGCATATCCTGCTTCTTTCCCTTCGAGGAGACGATTGTCTTTGAATATGAGCTGCTCTGCAAACTCAGATTTCAGAATCTAATCTTCTTCTTTCTTTTCTTTTCTTTTTTCTCTTGGAGCGCTCCTAAGCAGCACATTTGTTCAACTCCCATGTGGCAGTGTCTGAGGAAGACCAGGAGATCATGCTGATCTTATCTAAGCTCCATGGCGTTTTCTGCAAGATCTAGATTGCCGATTTTAGTGCCGTGCAGCAGGAACGTTTCTACAGCAACATTGTGTCTCTCGTGCATGAAGATCCCCATCGAGTGTGGTCAGCCGGGGAGTCCGTAGTTTGCAGTTCAATCGTTTCAGCAGGGTGGGAGGGAAGGACTTTGAAGAGCCCCGCTGAATCAGGTAACAAACTTGAAGGTCGGTGGAAACAAACCGCCTCTTTGTTCATCCACTAAAAGATTGATTTATTCCAGATGTATGTGAGGGGCTTAATTTCTGCTTCACACAGAATAGGAGCAGATTTAAATTATATTTAGATTGAATTGCTAGAATAGGCGATTCGAAGAATCACGGAGATTTTCAAACGTTCGCATTGGGTTGCACTGATTTGTCATCTCAATGGACACTGAAGAACTTGTTCTCATGAAAATTGCAGTCACTCATGGTGAATCCGTTGAATCCGAAGTGTTTCTTTGACATTGAGATTGAGAAACAGTATCAAGGCCGGATAGTGATGGAGCTTTTCGCAGACACTGTCCCAGTTACTGCGGAAAATTTCAGGTGACAAAAGCAGCTCTTAAGCTTATCCAGTTCTACGTGGAAAGCTAAACACCTTAGAACACACACACACACTTCCTTAGATGGAACTGATCAGGTAGACTGTTCATCTGAAAGCATCGTCATCAGCAACAACAACAACGACGACCAATGCTGACTCTTTCCGTTGCAGGTGTTTGTGTACAGGCGAGAGAGGAGTCGGCAAGCGCGGAAGAAACCTGTGGTACCGAAAATCGATGTTCCATCGGATCATCCCAGAGTTCATGTGCCAAGGCGGGGACTTCACCCGTGGGAACGGACGAGGAGGCGAATCGATATGGGGAGAAAGGTTACCAGACGAGAACTTCGTGCGAAAGCACGGCGGCGCTGGAGTGCTCTCCATGGCCAATCTCCACAAACCTCACACCAACAACTCTCAGTTCTTCATCACCATGGCCCCATGCTCCTGGCTCGATGGGTCGCACGTTGTCTTCGGACAAGTCCTGGAGGGCTTCGCTGTTGTGCAAGCCATCGCAGCCTGTGGCAGCGCGGGGGGCACACCGAGTAAGAACGTCATCATCTCGCATTGCGGAGAGCTACTCCACTCTGGGTTGTGCGAGTTCAGAGTCCCGTGTCCTCCATACGCAAATCCTCTGCAGCCTTTGGATGAGACGGTGCCACCGGCACCGAAACCGCAACGGGGCTGCTGTGGGTGTTTCCCTCTTCCTGTTTTGATCCCAGTGCCAGGCTCCTGCTTCTGCATGCAAACCGAGCACCACGATTTCTCCGGGAAGCATGTGGTTCGGCGACCAGTGGATCTGGCTCTAGTGGAACCGAGGCAGCTTGGCCCTCCTGCTCCTTTCGTCCACGCCACGTTCGTTCCTTTTTCCAAGTGCGGCGAATTGCAACCTTGACGACGACGACAACCCCCCCCCCCCCCCCCCCCCCCCCCACGCAATACCGTCCATCACTGCAACACCAACCTGCGTCTCGCTTGCACTGGGAAAGAATGTGGCTCATCGAACAAACAACAATCGCCGTGTTCCAGTTGGAGTTCATGAATGCATATCCCTCAGCGCCGGGGGCAACTTACCCCATATAGAACGACGGAACTCCACCATTGCAACCATATAATAACAGGGATAATTAATATCTATTTTTCGATTGAATTAGCGAGTGAGCTCCAACAGGCTTCGTAACATGCCATGTCGTCCATTTCTTGTTGGTGGTTATGCTGTGGATTGCATATAACTTCATGTAGTAAAGAAGCAATGGAATTCTTTCGAAAAATCTCAATTTCTTATGAACTAGCACAAATTTTCGAAAAATCTCAATAATCTCAGCTAAATAAGTAAAATCCCTCAATCAATTTTTTCTGATGCTGCAAGTCTTTTCTTCTAACTTGTTCCTCTTGAATCCTTAGATTACTCCTTTTAAATTAATTTCTTTTACATTTAATGATTCATTTCTGATAAACAAGGATTTGAATACATACTCCTCAAAAAAATAAAAATAAAACCATCAAATCAAATTAAACACCTTGTCTTGTAAATGTTAAATCTTGGTTGAATTGAAAATTATGGCAGTCACATAATGTTATACGAAACTATTCTTGTACGATTTAAAGAAAATATTCCATGCATGTGTAAATTTGTTGATTACCAGTTGAAATGGCTAAATACAGGTTCTCATGATACAATCAAAGTGGGACGTCACCTAACAATACTGAATTATCTATTTATCACAAACAAGATCTAAAATGTGCAATATTACAATTGTGGAAACGTGGTGTAAAGTGCATTTACAAAATGTCAACAGTATTGTGCATGTCCCATCTACATTAATCAGAATGCAATAGTTATTCAATTTACCTTTTTTCTTTTTTGTGAGATCATAGTGTGATGTGATGTTTGCTATTCAATCATTTGAAATGGGACTATTGGCTTGCATATAACTTCATGTAGTAAAGGAACAGAAAATGATTTATTTATATGTAGAAACCTACATTCTTATCCGTAATTAGTGTCTATCACACTTTTCCAAAGTGCCTTTGGAACATGAGTAGCTAGTTTACAGTGTGTATCACATTAATTGGAAACAAACACTAATAAGATGACATTTCAAATAGTATATATATATATATATATATATATATATATATTACTATTTATACTTATACTTAAATAGTGTACACTCCATAATGTATGTACCTTATAAGTATATCAATGGACAACTATGGTAGGTACAACTACATATACTTATTCAATAGCCAACAAAACAACCAAAGAGCTTTATTCTATGAATAGTGTGTATCACATTGATTAGGAATATACACTATTTGAATTTGTACACTAATTATAGATATCAATGTAGATAGATTTACAAATTTATTCAATTATTCTTGTTGATACTTTAAGTATGTGATATTTGAATATCACATGTTGATAAAAATCATGTATTTGCAATATTAAGATAAAAAATTGTAAAAAAACATCATATATGTTTATTTTTTAGGATACAATTTGTTGATTTTTTAATAAAAAATTTATTATTTTAAATTTAAAAAGTATAATTTCATTTTTTTAATTTTAATTATTAACTTAAAAACCAAAAGTTTGTGAATATTAGGAGCTTTGTATTTGATTTGTATTGCTTGAATCCTAATATGTTTCTAATAATAATTCACTATTATATTTGGTATTTTAAAATATTTACTTGATTTATAAAATAATACAAGTTGAAAATATTTGATTTTAAAATGTATATGGATAAATCTTGTGATATTGGATTCAATCAAAATTTTATATTTTGTCTATATGAAAAGGAAATTTTTAATATATATATATATATATATATATATATTTTAAAATGATCCATCCATTTACTAAATTGACACATTCTTTTGTAATCATCATTAGCAAAAAATAATCATCTCTAGACACTATCATTACCATCATGGCCTTCACTCCCATCTGCCTCATTTCTAATCCTTGCTCCCTTCATTCCTAGCCTTCATCATCTCGCCCTTGTTCCCCTCTCCTCTCATTCTCACATTTTGTATGATAGGGTGGATCAATTTAGTAAATTGGTGGATCATTTTAATATTTATTTATTTGTATACATATCCTACCAAAAATAACAAAAAATTCCTTATTTATATTCCATCAATCCTAATTTATATTTTATTCTAAAGATTGTATAATATCTTTTTAAGATATATTTAAATCTGATGCTAAGAATGAATATTTTTAAAACATTCAAACAAATACCACAAAACTTGATGATGAACTAAAAAAAATTAGTTACAAATCATTTCAAATAATGCATCAAAGTAAATTTATAAATATTTTTTATATAAAAGAATGAAAAAGAATATCCAAATCTTTTAATAGTTTCTAAAATCTAGTATATGAAGATATATATGTATATTTATGTATATCCATCTTGTATTTTGATTTGCTATTTGTAATTTTTTTTTGAAATACACATGTTTATTATCTTATTTAATCTTTTATATGTTAATGACATCCTTAAAAATAAAATGAGTTTTTATATATATATATATATATATATATATATATTATTGGTACAATGCTTTGGAGCTCTTGCTAACATTATTGCAAAATTTTATTAATTTTGATGCATAAGATTATAAAGGTACTTTTAATTTAATAGAACTTTTAAAAGGAATAATAAATGAGCAGCCCAACATTCAAAACTATTTTTTGGTAGGATGACTTCAAAGTATTATACAAAGAATTTATAACAAAAATCATGTATATATATATTTTTAGAGAGTTTTTTAATATATGTGAAATCATTTAATTTTTACAATATTCAATTATATCAGCTTCTTATATAAAATTTTAAAAATCCATTAAAATTGGAAAGAACCCTTGCTTTAAAATTAGTTATTGGAAAAAGTGGAAATAATAATAGTAATAATAATAATCTTGATATAAGTTGATCAATACTAAGAAATAAATATATTTCTTCAATTGAATAAATATTGTGTCCATTTTTAATATTGTTTAAAAACATTGTGTTGCAATAAATGTATAAATTTAACATTCATTTTAAATTTATCATTGTTGTTATTGTTATTAATTAGAAACCTATACTATTGGACACAAAAAGTTATAAAATTTTAATTTTTTAGTATAAAAGCAATTACTTCTTAAGAAGTGTCAACTTAAAAAAAAAAAAAAAAAAAAAAAACAAAAAAAACAAAAAAAAAAAAAATTCAGACATCAAATAACTTTGGAACCATTTGTGTTTCTTCAATGTTATTAGCAAAGACAATTCTTATTTACTTTAATAGCTAAAATAGTTAGTTTAATAAAACTTTAGAATAAAGTATATTTTTTGTAAATTTTTTGATTTATTACTTTTTAAATAAATAATCTTGATTGTATTTGGAGAAGTGCAATGTGAAAGGGCAACAAAAAAAATTACATAATGAAATGACAACATACATTTTTATATTGTGAAAGGACAACATACATGTTTAAATTGTAAAAGAACAACATATGTTTTTGGCCACTAAGAAGACTTGTTTGTCTCAACCAATTGGCCAATAAGAAGGCTCTTTTATCTCTTGTCTTATTACCAAGCTTTCTTATTGTATAGATTCAATATCTAGCAATACTCTCTTTAAGCCAACACAACAACTACAACCTTTGACTAGTTAAATTTAAACATATACAATTAATAGATAAAAGGTAAAAAAGTATATTATAATTTTTATTATCAATTTAATTATTCTATAAAACATAAGCTCATAACTTATAAAGCTATTTTTTAGGAATGTTTGTAGTAAAAACGTTCTTTTTATAAAAACATAAACTTCAAAAATGTATATTAAATCTTTTTAAATTAAAAATATTTACCATTTAAATATGCAACAAAAACTCCTGACTAATTACAAATCAATAGATATATGTAAATAAAACATTGTTGGTTGGTAGAAGGTTGCAATAGGGTGGTGAAAGATTATATAAAAAAGTAACAGAAGAAAACTTTGTAAATAGATTTTGAGGACTAGACAAATTTATAGTTTTGAAGAGCACAAACTATCTACATAATTCTACTTTATTACATGCATTGACTATTTTTACCCATAACATTATATGTTAGATAAACTAAAGACTTTGCATATATTTGAACGTTTTAAAATTGAATCAAGTAAAATTATTTTAAAAAAATTATTTTTCTTCTATAATATATTATATATGACTTGTTTTAAAAAATAACTTCAAATCAGACATTTTTTAAAATTTAAAATTTTCCAAAAAAGACTAACAATCCACTTTATTAATTATGTATTCTTTTTACTTTAAAAGTTCAAATTAATTATATATTATCCGCCAAAATTGCAAAATCGATGTGGTGGTCATTTCACTCTTTAAAGCTTAAAAAAGAAAATAAAAGAAATTAAAATTTAAAATCAAAATGTATATCAAAATCATCATTCACACAATTGTCTATTCCAAAAGACATACATACATACATACATGTCTATAACAAATAAAATAAACATTACAAGAAGAGGTAAAAGTCACCCATGAAACCCTAAAAATAATAATAATAACAAAGGGATTTATTATTATTATTATTATTATTATCATATTATTTTCTTTCTTAATCAACACTCTGAGATGTTTAGAAATAGTGACAAAAAAGAGGAAGTAGAGGAGAGGAGAGGAGAGGCAAGTCATGCAAGTGCATTTTTAGGGGAAAAAAGACTCAAAGCAAGTAAGCAAGCAAGACCGGCATTTAGGGTTTGGGGCTCCGTCGACGTCGGTGTGTCCGGCGACCTTGCCCGCGCGCTCTTTCTTCGTTTGTTTTGTTTGTGTGTCTTGATTGTTTGAGTGCCTCGCGACCTCGTCGTTGCCGATTGCGATCGATCGCGGCGTGACATGGGAGCTCCGCGATTACCCCCGCAGCGACATCGCCAGCCCTGCTCCCGCTCCTTCTCTGCTGCTGCTGCACCCTCACACTCACGCCCCTCCTGGTAACGCTGTGCGTGCCCTGATCTGTTCGTGGTCTCTTCCTCTCGCTCTCGCTTCTTTCCGCTCTTCCGCTTTGCCTTCGCCATGGGAGACTATGGCGATGCATACATGCGGAAGGATGCCTCAGGTCCGCCGGGCCGCACCAAGGCGCAGAACCGCGCCACCGTTCAGCAGCTGAAACTGGTGCGTCGTCTTTCCCTGTTTGGTTTCTTATCATCTTCTTTCCGTTTTTGCGCACGGTCACCGTTTTTGGTTTTTGGTTTTTGGTCTTGCAGTTGTAAGGGATGCGTAGCGAGGGCTTTTGTGTTGATGTTTGTCTCCTTTACAGGGCATTTGTGTTTTGTTTTTTGTTTTTGTTTTTGTTTTTGTTTTGTTTTGTTTTGTTTTGTTTTTTGTTTTTGTTTTGTTTTGTTTTGTTTTGTTTTTTTATTCTTCAGGGGAACTCTTTTTAGCAATTTTTCTACGACCCCGAACCCTGTTTTAGGTTGTTAAGCCTGACGAGGGTGATCATTAATTGTGCAATTGCATGGTCAAGTTTTAATTCTCGTCGTCGAGCGTGGTGAGCTTTATAGGCGCATGTGTGTGTGTGTGTGTACATATACACACACGGTCACACACACACATAAAACTCAACATTTACTTAAAAATGCAGACACTTTTTTTTGTCAGTTGCAGGTCTTTTTCTTTTCTCTGTTCATTTTCCTCAAGTTAAATCTGACCGACTGAGAATAACTGTTGGATTTTTTTAATGTCTCTGGTAGATCAACCGTTTTTTTAATCTTTTGGACACCAATATAGACAGTTTGCCTTCAACTTGAGGTTGATTGTCTGTTCTATTGTGCAAATTATTTTTCGTTTCAGTAGGTTGTGGGAAATCGATTAATGTATATCTGCTTGTTTTCTTCAGATTGGGCAGAGCCATCCAACTGGATTGACTACGAATCTTTTGAAACTTTTCGAGCCTCGGCCCCCTCTAGAATACAAGCCCCCTCCAGAGAAGCGAAAATGCCCCCCTTATCTAGGTCATTTCTGACCTTCATGCGATGTTGCTGATTCTTTTGCGACGGTCGTTTTGTCTACCATAGAACAGCGAGATTTGATATGATGCCTGGATTCGGATTCACTTGACAGCTTAGACTTATTATTCCTTGTTCACAGGTGTCTGAATTATGTTCTAAGCCATCACTCCACGGCTTTCTTTCAGAAGCTACTTCCTCATTTTGGGCACTGAATCTCACTCTGAGTTAATTAACTGGACGCTTTGAATATGTTCCATGAGAGATTTGTGGTGTTTTATTTATTTTATTTTGTTTTATTAGTACGTACATGGGGACAAGTGCAAATATGTTCACTTTGTAACCTTTGACTCTGTGCCTTGTGCTTATGGATGAAATTTTCGGCTGTGTTTCAGGTATCGGGCAATTCGTTCAGCATTTTGCAGAGCCTGGAGATCCCGAATATGCCCCTCCTGTCACTAAGGGAGAAACTCCTGTAAGTCACATTAAGCAGTAATGCCATATACTTTGGTTCTCTCTTATTTTTGCTTCATTATTGGTGTGCTTTGTTGTATTATTCGGGCATCGTTTCTTCCCTTCTTTCTTGATTGTTTTTACCTGGTTTTTTTATTTCTTATCTTTTTTATCTTTTGGAATACACTTGTTGTTGTGGTATGTACATCATTAAATACTTGTTAGACGATATACGGTAGATATCAGCGATAACTGATATATGTGAGTGTGCAGACACAAAGACGCGCTCGTATTCATCAGCTTCGATTGGAGGAAGGAGCGAAGAAGGCAGTTGATGAGTTATCTAAGTGTATGTGTTGCTTACCAATCATTTTTAAGTTAGGTTATCCGGGTGTGTGGAATTGTGATGCAAGTGCTGAAAATGTTTGTATTCACATGTTCAAACATTTCCGCGTAGCCAAGAAATTGAGATCATATGTTTTCTCTTTTAGATTCATCGCATCCGTTGCAGTTTCTGATACCCAGCAATCTTTTTTGGCTTTGGCAGATGATCCGACCAATGATCCAGATATAGAAGGAGATCCTTACAAGACGCTGTTTGTTGCTCGCATAGTACGTCTTCTGAGAATTTTGCAACTTGAGTAGGCGGATCTTGAGTTTTAATTTAGTATCTATTGCTTGTACTGTTAATTGTATCCATTTTTGTTTTCAATAGCTTTCATTTATAGGATGTTTCAGCATTCTGTTGTTGCTGCTGTGGTGTAAGGGCTTATTCGAGTATTTAAATGTGCACATCAGGTTTGACACTTTCATGTCTCTTGCAGAGTTATGAAACGACTGAAAACAAGATCAGGAGAGAGTTTGAAAGCTATGGTCCTATTAAACGTGTGAGTAACCGACTTCTATTGTTCGTTACTTTAATGCACATCCTTGTAGTCATTCATCGGAATATCCTTCGACTGTTTGTGCTGTCCCATGTGTGATCCATCTCTTTGTTGATTTGTACTATTAAGATGTAAGTGTGTGCATCGCTTTGAAATTGATAAATTATTGGCTTTGTGGATTGTTGGAGGTTCGCATTTTACAGAGATACTTGTAGATGATGATACGCATTTGTAAGCATTGGAAGCAGAGGGTTGGGCTGACTTGAACTCCTTCTGCCTATCTTCTCAGGTCCGACTTGTACATGATAAAACTTCAAAGGCTCCCCGAGGATATGCATTTATTGAGTATCAGCACACTCGGGACATGAAAAGTATGTGAAGTTCTTCGCTTGTCTTGTCCTTATCCATATCATACATTTTTGGTGAGGCATGCTGCAGCGCTTGCACAAACTTGATAGATTGTTGCTTTTGGTAGCTTTTTGAAGCTATCATCTGTGTGTGTGCAGCTGCTTATAAGCAAGCTGATGGTCGTAAGATAGACAATCGGCGAGTCCTTGTTGACGTTGAACGAGGTCGCACTGTACCTAATTGGCGTCCTCGAAGATTGGGTGGGGGTTTGGGGTCTACTCGGGTAGGAGGTGATGAAGTGAATCAGAAGTACTCTGGACGGTACATTCTTCCTAACCTTATGCTATATTTTCATGGTTTACTAGTTTAATTAATGGTTAACGTCGGATTCGTGGCTTCATTATCAACGATTCTATATTCTCCAAGTCTGACGTTAATGTTGCCAAGTCGTGCAGTATCAAAATGAACAATATATTAGAAGTCTTGCCTCTATCGCACGTTCTGCTCTGTATATTATTAGTTGATGATCACTGTGGTTTATTGCATGTAGAGAACCGCAACTGGTTACAGCTGCAACAACCACCAGATCAGAGGAGCCGAAGGCACGGGACGCTGTCATGAGTCATGATGATAGGTGAAACTGCTTTGCTCTTTTTTCTGAATTTTTCTCGTATTCATCGCTCTGTCGGCTGTTGCGTTCAGGAACTTTTGGATGATTGTTGAAATGATTGTATTTCTTGTCTGTGAGCTTCTGGTGTTTCCCATTATAACAAACTTAACTCTCTCTTCTACCCGCCACAGGGATTTGGATAAGCCGGACAAGCGAGAGAAGGATCGAGATTTTGATCGAGATCATGAACGAACACGGGACAGGGATGATGACGGTTACCGTGAACGTGATCGGGAGAAAGACAGGGATGATAGAGAGCGCGACAGTGATAGACACCGGGATCGTCATCGCGATCGCGGAGACCGTGATCGTGGCACTCGAGAGAGAGATCGTGGTGGTCGTGATCGAGGACGAGATTGGGAGAGGGATCGTATTGGACGGTCCCGTTCACGAGAAAGAGAGAGGGAGAGGTAATTTTCTTTCTGTTAGCCTACTTGTCTGAGGTTTAGAGCCCTGATGTGTCGCAAGATGGTGCCTCCTGGTTCTGAATTAAGCTTGCTGTTTATCAAGGCTGGCTGTCCTCATTTTTCCATGCATACTTGGAAGAAATTTGGCTTGCTTTCTGGTTTGGGTATACGCTGACAACTCACCACCATCTTCTGCAGAGATCGGTGATTTGAAGTTAATGGATGGCTGGGCCCAGTTGACGTGGGTAGCATCCTTCACTGCCCATTGATTTGGAGTCGCGCAATGATTTGACATGGTCTCGAAGCTGCAGTCAAGACATCTATGAATGAAGATACCGATCATCTGTTGAGAGGGAAGTCTAGAGGAATGTTTCTATCATGGCACTTTCAAGAAGAGATTTTTGAGCACCTGTTTGATGGTATTCGTTACGTCCAAGACAAGTATGTTTCGCAATTATGTGCCTCATATCTACCTTTTGATTGCTTTAATGGTTCATCATGAGTAGATCCTTCAGTTGGCATGCGCAGGGAATCGACTGTGCAAAGTTGTATCAACCATGCTCGTAGATAGTGAAGAGCTCATCTTTCGGTTTTTTCTTCTTTTTTTTTCCTTTTTTTTATTTTATTATTTTTATCCTTTTTTAAAAATGTATTCATTCTGCCAATTTGTGTAACAAGGCTTACACTACTGTGACAAGTTTCCAAGTTTAAACAGTTTTTTTTTTGAACATGGGCATCGAGTATTTGTTACATGCACGTCGACAGATTCAACTCTTGACTTAGTAGACTAGCGTTGATGAAATGCAGTTCCGAACACATGAGCAGGAGGTAAATGTTTATGTTACCGCAGATTTAGAGCAAGGAGATAGCTACATTAATTCGTTCAAAAACATGCATTTTGTATGCGCAAGCATCAACTTCTTATGCGATGTGCTTGATTGTACGTTATCAATTCTGATTCTACTTTGTAAACAACTTCTTTGCATGTTCCAGGGATTAAAAAGCACAATGATGTACAATTAATTGTTGGTTTCGAAACTGATAGCAAACGCGCAATTAAACAACTCACGAACAATACCACATCATACCTATAGTTCTGTTGAACACAAGGAAATAATGTGTTTGCATCATTGCACTTCCAACTTATTAATTACACTTCATATCCTCGTGTTTTATCAGTGTTCTACTTCACATCGTATTGTCGAATTAACGGTAGAATCTCAATTACTTGATGTATAAGAAAACCTTCCTGATACCAACCCCCTTTGAATTCATTCCCATGGGATCTGATACAGACATGTACAGTGGGGTACAGAAATAATTCGAATTTTTTTCTAGAGCACCACTTTTGCTAAAAAAATCTTGTTGTTCAATTGAATGTTGTGATCATGTTGGAAGGAATTTTTCCCCGACACTTGGCCATCTATTTTTGGAGTGCAAGAGGTGTCTAATTGCATGTAATTAGCCATGTGTCTTCAAAAGCAGATTGCAAATGTGATGATTAATGTGGAAGTGGTTAGGTGAGCTAAAAAATCACAGTTGCAATTAGGCATGCATGCAGCCAGCAAAATGGAGTGATAGCATAGAATGCTTAGATGGGGTGACTTATATAATCCATCTGAAGATGTGAAGCACATTGCACTGCCACAGATTGAGATTGTGAAGCACATATAGATTTTAGAAGTGTTCTTTTTTGGTTTTGGACATCGTTAGCTTCAGTGACTCCTCTTCGTCAAACTAGAAGTTGGTTTGTGCTATTTGAAGGCTTACAGCAAGCACCATGAAGTACAGAACATTGTCCCCTATGCAGAAGAATCAGATTGTGGGGATGAGGAAGGTTGGGATGAAGTGTAAGGACATTGCAGAAGTCTTCACTGCTCCCTGTTCCACCATTTCAACTATCTTGAGTCATTGGAAGGTCCATGGAAGTGTGGAGTCATTGAAATCACAATGTGGCAGACCCAGGAAGTTGTCTGAGCGGGATTTTCGAGTGTTATGTCATGCTGTTAGTTCAAATAGAAGGCATACTCTGGTAGAACTTGCAAACTTGGTGAGTGTTTCCCGAACTACTGTTCGATTCTACCTCCGTGAGCTTGGTTTTAGAAATTGTATAGCACCTAAAAAGCTCTATTTGAATGTCAAACATAAAGCAGATAGGCTTGCATTTGCACGTGCTTATGAGAGTTGGACGTTTGAAGATTGGTGTAATATTATTTGGACGGATGAGTCGTCATTCGAAACTGGCAAAAATCCACGGCAAATTAGAGTGTGGCGGAAGGTGTATGAAAAATATAATTGGGATTGTATAGCACCAAGTTTTAAGTCTGGACGTAGTTCAGTGATGGTTTGGGGTGCCTTTACTGGCTTTGATAAGTCTCCATTGGTCATCATTCCTTTAGATAAGAGATCAGCAAGGGATTTTGTCACTATTGTTTATGAAGGAGTATTAAGTGGCTTTTATTTCTTACATGATGACCCTGAGCAATTGATATTGATGGAGGATGGCGCTCCAGTCCACCGTAGCTCATTGCCACTGCAATGGAGACGTGCTCATGGTATAGAAAAGTTGTTTTGGCCTGCCAATTCACCGGACTTGAATCCAATAGAGAACGTTTGGATGGTTGTAAAAGATTTGCTCAAACATCATAGTAGACCTAATAGTAAGCTAGAAATGATAGAAAAAATTCAATCCGTATGGGATACCATATCTATAGAGTGGCTTCGTACATTGATTTCCACTATGCCTTATAGGATGCAAGCGGTGATTGCAGCTGGGGTGGTAGTACGAGATGGTAGATAGTATGTAACAAAAAGCTCTCTTGATGTATATTTTCACAACTTTATAATGCAAACTTGTTACACCATGAAACTAGATTCTACTATCTTCGCAATGCATTTTACGGCTCAAAAATGCATTCATTTTTGACACTGCTGGAGCTTTTTGAAGTTCAGTGATTTCTAACACTGATTCACTTTGAAAAAAATTCGAATTATTTCTGTACCCCACTGTACAACCTCATGAAAGTGTTATTATTAATGAATTTAAAAACTTGGTACCAAAAGAGGGGCAGCCATCCTTTGGGTGCACATCATGAGAACATCTGAATAATCCATCCCATTATAAAGTTCGTTGCACTACACACACCCTCAAATAAATAAACAAATAAATACATAAAATGGTAATATTTCAATAATTTCATCCACCAATTCACTGGCTGTCCTGTACCTCCAGCATGGGTTCGACATTCATCCATTTGGATGATATATGGTAAACGAAATATCGTTTAAACTGAAGCATTCATTAGTAATTCATTCATCGATCTGTCGTATTAATCCACTCGACAATTGGATCTAGACCTAAATGACACTTGCTCAAATATTTAGACGCTGGAATCCAAATATTTTATTTGTTTTACTTTTTTTTTATAGATATATTGAAATCAAAATCAAATTGAAATTTGAAAATTTACTCTAAAGTTAAGTTATATACTTTATATCAAAATATGCAATGTTTGAAAAATAAAATATTTCCCTTATTTTACATTTTTATTTTATTCTATGAAAATTTAGGCCGAAAAATTCATGATTATTATTACAAAATATTATTATTAACTTTTTTGAGTGAATACTATATATATATATATATATATATTATGACACTTAACAATGGTTTTTGTTGGAGTGGAATTAGTTAAATACTTATTCATGGTTTATTCTATTTGTGTGATATTAAAATTTATTTCATATGCATCTAGTTCTCATGTCATTAGATATTGATAAGATAGAGTAGTTGAATATTACAATGCATAGTTCTTTTTAAAAAACAAAACCTATTGAACACATTCACAATGGTATGGTGTATTCACAACAATTATGCACAATGTAACAACTATTCAATACAGAACATAGAATCATAAGAAATTGTAAAGTTATTTTTTAAAAAATAAGCAGAAAACTCCATAAACAGAAAATGATTGTCATGGAACTTATCCGGATTTTAAAGTTATAAATTTATTTATATAAAATTCATGCATATCACAAATATAATTTAATAGAATAAAGAAATAATATCTTGGAAATTAAAAAATTGTCTTTAACAATTGTATTTGAAATGATTTTGTAACCTGTAAATGTAGGATAGATATAATAAATAAATATAAGCCCCATTTTTTTCATCTTCCAGTGGTAATAAGTACCTATAGATCCATCCCCATTAAAACAAACAAATAATCAAATGAATAAATAATTTTCAAGTTATATTATTTATACTTGTTCTATTTTTACAATAAAAACTACAAACTCCTTTTACTATTACATTTTAAACGCAAACACTCTGTATATTTCTTTCAATGATTGTTTTCATGCACACATATTATTATTATTATTATTATTATTTTCACATTCTGTAATAATGATCAGACATGAAAGCTGACAGTAATTCTCAATAATGTTCATATATATATATATATATATATATATACACACACACATACATATACATATATCAAGATTTTACATTTCTATTTCAGTTACATAAAACATATATATTATTTGGGATGCCAAGTATTAAAATTTGACCAAAGTTTTACTAATTTTGTTATATACATATATTTATATTTATATAAACATATATTCCAAATTACCAAACTTGTGGTAATAAATCCTTTGTCATATATATATATATATATATATATAGCTACGACCTCCATAACTATAGTGCTTCTGGGTGCAGTACTTGTTGTGGTTCGAATCTCTATAAAAGAAATAAAAAAATACAGAAATCAAAAGTTGGGTCACCCATGAGGCCTCTCATTATTCCATTCGGAAGCCATACAATGCAGAGTTTGTATTTGTTTCTGGACTGCCTGGCCATGAAATAGCCCCCCCCATTTCCTTTTCCTCATTTTCTTTTATTTCTACATAGAAATACAGATATATATATATATATATATATATACAGAGAGAGAGAGAGAGAGAGAGATGGGTTTGTTGTATCATTGTCCTTGGGAACGGCCACTTATTTCGATCACAAGGGAACACACTTTAAGGGCATGAGAGCATTGAAGGCAATGGAAGATGAAGAAGTTACTTTCCACCTGCTTTTTTTGTTTTCTTTTTTGTGGTTGAGGTTACAAAGGCGTGGAGGTCAAAATTAATAATTAACAATAATATACACTATGCAAGTGAATGTTGAACTTTTTATTTTTTACTTTTTTTATCATTTGGTAATTTTTTTGAATATTTGTTTTATGTTATTTTATGTTGTTTTCTTACTTCAGTGTTTTCTTTGATGTGCACCAAAAAAAAAAAAAACAAAAAAAAAACAAAAAAAAACAAGGAGTACAAATAAAAATAAAAAAACAAACTTATATTTGTGGATGATCTATACGACAGTAAAAATTCTGATTTCAAAAGGACTGACATCTTTTAGGCTTATGCTTTTGACATTCTGTGTAATTTACATTATAATTGAAGATAACCATTTTGTTTCAAAGAAAAAGAAATTAGGGGTGTATGAGAGAGATGCATAAAGAAACAAACAAACAAATCTATATTAAAATTATTGTTTAAAGTCTTGGATTGGTTTACTAATGGACTCACAAACATTGTTCTATAATTAGGGTTTATTGATTCTGACAACTTAGTTTCGTTGCTTTAAAAGCTCTTTGAAGTGACTTTCAAATGGTTGAGGAGCTAAAAACATAACTTTGTATGAAAAGTAAAGAATAACTTATCAAACCAAGAGTTCATAACATAATACAAATTTTGCAAGAGTCAATCATACTTAAAAGTTATTACAAAGCTAATTGCATTAATGCTCATTTGTAAAGTTAGACAAGATGTATTAGAATTACACTTAACAAATATGACATGATTAACGTAAATTAATATATACTGTTGTAAAACACATAAAAATATTTGAAAATGATCTTTGTCTCTTGATTTCTTTTTTCATAACACCAAATTTAAGTTGAAATTCTAAGATATATGTTGGTTAAGTAGTAAAGTCGAAATTAAACACACACACATATATATATATATATATATATATATATATATATGTATTCCAGATGTTTTAGAATTATATTATTGAAAATTGTTAAAATTATTATAGATTATTCAGGAGTCGAATTCTTATATATATATATATACATATATATAATTATTTAATTTTAATTATAAAAAAATACTAAAAAATATTGAAACAAATTTTAAGCCACAGAATATACCAAAATTCCATAATAAACTTTCATTATGATATAACTAGCAATGGAATCCCATGTTTAGCTTGGAAAGTAATATGTTAAAGCAATGGGTTCCAAATGGTTATGAAGAAGATGGAAATTAATTGTTACATGGATTTTCATTCTTTTAAATAATATCACAAACAAACTAAAATTAAAAAAATCAAATCAAATCAATTTATACTAAAAAAATTGTCAATTATCTCTTGCAAAGTGGAAAACATATAGTATTATTAAAGGCAATAAGTTGTGGCTCAAAATATTGACCTTGGATGTTGAGCCTCTCTTCACATATTTCATGCGTTCATTGAGGCACTCAAGCAAGACACAAATCAACTAATGCTTTTGGATGCATTTGTACATAGAGACATGAATTCATATGAAGAGATATAATGGCCTTTAGATGGATTCACACATATAAATACCCACCATTTTTATTATGGTTTTAGAATGTGTAATCATGCTTGGTTTTATAACCAAATCATGTTGATATAAAATCACAAGAAAAATGTTGTTACTTTGATGAATTTCTTGAAATTTTATTGATTTGAACTAAAATTTAGAAGGTTGTATTTATTAGTAACCATGATTTTTATAAATAAATTTTCTTTTACTCAATTTTACATTAAAATCTAAACAATAAATATAAACCATAACCATGATAGAAACAATACTTCAAAACTATAATATTACCATAGCTTTTGTTTATGCATTAGTGTAAAATCATATATAGGATTAAAAGTTTAGTAGCATAAAGTTTTGCAACATAATTAAATAGTCTAGGTTTTGAAAAGAAGTCTTTAATATGTTGTAAATGTATTCAAATATATATTAAAATAATCTCATTTTTTTTTATCAAAAATAGTATAAAAATATTTCAAAAAGATTGATATTGAAGTTAAAGAATACATACCATTATGCATTTCTCACTATTCTCAACTTTGATTTAATTCTAAGCTTGTAAATCATAATATGTTTAATCAAATGATTAGTGTCATTCATCCAATAAAACTCTTCCTTGAAATAAAATAACCCATTTTTCCATGTCATAAATAGTTTTTAACATGTTCAACCATTTTTAACTATTTATGCTCATGTTAGAAATGCATAGTATTGAGAATTTTCAATTCAATAAATACATCATTTGTTCATTAAGCATGTTACATCATACTTATGAGTGGATTCTAAGATATATTACATTAATGCATATAATTTTATCAAAAGAAGTGGAAACAACATCACAATGATTTCATTTTTCAAACGAATAAAAAAAGCCAAAAAAATACATTAACCATGTTTTTTTTTTTTTTTTTTTTTTTTTAAATTTTAAATTTTAAATTTATTTTCTTTTTAAAGAAGAAGAGTTGTGAGATTGGCTTGAAGTATTTAGAAAATGGCGGTACACTCAATGGAAAATTATTTTAATTATTCATTTATTTAATTTAATTTATAATTTGATTGTAATTAATAATATTTATAAAGAGTACTGTAGTGGAGTGTTGTGTGGGTGGGGTAACAATGATGCCAGATGAACGTCCACATTCATCCCACCGACCATGGATCCGTCATTCATCTACGAAGATGTTGAATCTGTCAGCGAAGCGATACATCCATCTCCCTCATCAGACACCCCCAATCGCGCGGGTTAATAAATGCCCTGCCGGGCTCGGTCAGGCCAATGGGACCCCCCCCCCGCTGCTTTATGGAGTAGGTGACTGTTCCGCTCGGAATCCAAACCGTTCCACGTTGGTAGCTGTTATGTTCACAAAGTGGAACGGTCTTCCTCGCCCACTGATGGCGTCTCTCTCTCTCTCTCAGCTGGTGGAGTTGTCGCGTTTGGCTGTGGGAAAACTTGACGCAGTGCTCATCGCTGAGCGGCAAGCCGCGCGACTGTTTGTTTCATCTCCTTAAATTGCGAGCAAGAGGATCAATTGTAAGCTGGAGTCGTGAGGAGAAGACGAGCTGCGGAGCTTCACAGCTGAAATGGTAAATAAAAGCAGGAAGGAGGGAGGGAGGGCGTTGTTCAACGAGTTTGCTGCAATGCAGGATTTCGGCTTGGTTGAGTTAATACTGTTGGTCACGAAGACGAGAGAGGGGATACAGACAGTTTTATGTGCATTGGAAGCACGACCATCGCCATGCACACCACTTCTGTACCCACGGGAAATAACACAACACATGGCATAACAACGTTCCTCGTCACCCTGTTTATTATGAAGAGCCCAGCTCAGTACCAGGTCACTACTGCTGCCATGGTGAACTGTTTTTCCCTCTTCGTTTCGGGGTCGTTTCTTTATCGTTCGATGCAAGGGAGGCACGTAAAAAAAAAACAAAAAAACAAAAACAAAAAAAACAAAAAAAAAAAAACACGGAATGAAAGACGGGAGTGAAATGGATTAAAAAGAAAAAGAACCCAGTTTCTGTCTTTGCTGGGTGAGCTGCCGTCAGGAGAGCAGCAGTACCAAAACGGTGACGATTCAGCGTGGGATCAGCTGGCGGAGTGGATTCACCCGGTGGTTGGCTAGGGGAAGCGGGACAGGCCTTAAGGTGGTGCGACCATAAATACTGGTGGAGCCTGATCTAAACCAGGCGGAGAAGGGGGAATGGGAGTGTGCGTTGTAATCTACACAAGTGGGGGAGTGGATGAATTCATTGCCTGGCATGCCACACTATTACCACCGTGGGAGCTACTGGCGTCATCTATCAACAGCCATTGAGTCACAGCAGTAATGAGCTCGCGCTCAGGAACCTGCACAAGACAGCTTACAGATAGCTTAGGCAGATTTGAATGCAGCCACAACTGCATTTGTCGTAGTTGCAAATTTTTTGGCCCTCACCATCCTGGCCCTGCATTGTTGAGAGAAAGAGAGAGTGTGGCGGGGGAGCTTGGCGTGTCGTTTCTTTGAAGGGGTGTGGTGGTGGGTATGCTTGCAGCAGTGGCGAAGCGCTGCTCTTGATTCATCGAAGCAGACAACAGTTAATTGCTACAGCTCATGGTTGCAAGCTCGCTGCTTGAGCTGACTCAGCGGGACGTCGTGGTCTCGACTCAGCGATCTTCTGGTGTTTGAGAAGTTCTTGTACTTGCCGAGACTTGAGAGTGGGACGTACCAATTGAAGCGTTGGCCGTGGTGGTTTAGTGCATTGGAATCGGCGGCTCACAAAGTTTTCGAGCTGGAGAGGGAGTGACAGTCGGAAAGGTTTCTCTCTGCTGCAGTGTGAGATAGCGAGCGACTGAGAGAGAGAGAGAGAGAGAGCGTGAGTGTGAGAGTGAGATAGCAGTAACCGAGCTTCTAGCTTGCGTTTCGATGGCCCGCAACAGTGAATCGAGCTTGTGGAGCTGAGGGCTCTTGAAGTAGGAGTTTTCGGACGTTCGGTGTGCGAAGGAGGTGACATTTGTCTTGGTCGGAGGAGTTGAGCATTTCCGCCGGCTCGGGGGGGAGGGGGCCTCTCTAAGAGTATGCCACGTCGTCGCTTAGTGATGTTGTGTGCACGCACACAGATAACATTAGCGCGTGACACTCATATCCTGCTTCCGAAGAGTGAGTCACTCACGTAAGTTGTGATAGCTGTGTCAAGAGTTCTGCTTCAAAACGCCGGCTTTGGGCTCGAGCGCGTTGGCACATCTGCACAGGGCATTGACAAACTAGCTTCTCAGCATTGTTCAGTAATACTTGATCAAGACTTCGAAGAAATCGGAGACTTGTGAACGATGCAGTACTTAGTGATGAGCCGGGGGGACAATTGCACCCATTTTCACAGTCAGAACCAAGGGCAGACAGGACTGGGGATGTGTACCGGCCCTAATCGCATGGATTCATGGATGTTAACACAGGTGATGCTCGCTGGTGTGGTCACCTTCTTGGTGTGGCATGTGATTAAGTACAGCAGAATCAAAGGACCCATCGTGTGGCCGGTTTTCGGCACCACGCCGCAATTTTTGTGGAACCTGCCGCGCATGCACGATTGGACAACTGACATGTTGGTGAAGCACGACGGGACCTACACCTCCATTGCGCCCAAGTGCACTTGCTTGACCGCCGTCGCGACTTGCAGGTAGGGTCTCGTTGAACGTATTGCGACTCTCTGTGAATGAATGCTGTCCCATCGGTTGTGCGTTTTTATTTGTGTTTCTGAGGACATGGTCTCCGTGAAGGGTGGCTATGAGCTTCATGGTCAACTGTTTTCAAAGAGGCCCTGCTCGGTACCCTGTCGACATCTCGGTAACTGGTTAAATGTCGTTGTGCGCGTGGTGAAATGCGGGGTGTAAAAATTTGAATTAGTTAGGAAAATGTGGAAGGAAGGATGTTCTGCTTCATTGCATATCGCAGCCAACGACTTGGTTGCAGACCCGTGTTACTCGAGGCTCTGTTGTAATTGTTAGAGCTTGTTACATCTGGCCGTGTCTCCCTAATTTCTACACAATTTCCAGTGCTTTTGCGTGCCGAATCAGTGAGTAGCATGCTGAAGTGACGATGCGCTTGGGTGAATCGCAGGCCTGAAAACCTGGAGTATGTTTTGAAAACCAATTTTGCCAACTATCCCAAGGGGAGGAGCTTTACATACCCCTCCCACGATCTATTAGGTCAAGGCATTTTCAACACAGATCACGACCTATGGAAGATGCAGAGGAAGACGGCGAGTCTAGAGTTCAGTACCCGCACTCTGAGGGACCTCATGGTGAAGGCCAACCGAAGCTCAGTGGGGCAACGCCTCTTGCCCGTCCTTGCCGATGTGGCCAGAAATAGGTACTGCTCATGTTCTAGATTCGTCATGAAGACACTGAAGTTTTAGTTCGTTACTGTTACACGAAATTTTGGTGTACATCATCTGGGTGTGTGAGATTGGCTTCAATAGAGTCACTCTAGTAGATGCTTTGATTGTGTTTTCAATCGTGTCCCTGAAAGCCTCGTATCCTCGGTTCTTAGGTTGACAGAATTCGTGTCATGGTGTGATTGACAGAGCTCCCATAGACTTCCAGGACCTCTTCCTGCGCTACACATTCGACAATATATGCATGGTAGGATTCGGTGTGGACCCTGGCTGTCTCGCACCTGGCCTACCCACGGTGCCCTTCGCACAGGCCTTCGACCTCGCCACAGAGGGCACTCTTACGCGCATGGTGGTACCTGAGATTTTCTGGAGAATCACCCGCGCACTGGGATGGGGAATGGAAGGCCGGTTGGCGAAAGCCATCAACGTCCTCGACAAATTCGCAATGGATGTGATCACCGAGCGACGGAAAGAACTCGCCATGCTCAAAACCCTAAATGCCACCGACTATCCATGCGACCTCCTCTCGCGGTTCATGCAGACCACGGACCATGAGGGCAACCCCTACACCGACAAGTTCCTTCGCGACGTGACCACGAATTTTATCCTCGCGGGGCGCGACACCACCGCCATCGCCCTCTCCTGGTTCTTCTACCTGATCACGCAGCACCCCGCTGTAGAGGAGAAAATCCTCCTAGAGATTGGAGAGATTCTTCGATCTCGAAACCACGGCCAGGACAAAGAAGCTGCTGATGACGACGCCACACGAATCACCCAAGAAGCCTCCCTCAGCTTCGAGGAGCTGAAGCAGCTGAACTACCTCCACGCCGCGCTCTCCGAGTCGATGCGACTCTATCCTTCGGTTCCTATTGACAACAAAGACGTCACAGCCGACGACTTTTTACCCGACGGCACCTTCGTCAGGAAGGGTACTCGTCTCATGTACTCGATCTACTCCATGGGAAGGATGGATTCCATATGGGGAAAAGATTGTATGGAGTACAAACCCGAAAGATGGCTTCGCAAGGGCGTCTTCACACCTGAGTCGCCATTCAAGTATGCCGTTTTCAATGCCGGGCCTCGGTTGTGCCTTGGCAAGGAGCTCGCGTACCTGCAGATGAAGTCGGTGGCGAGTGCCATACTGCGAAATTATCATGTCAAGCTTGTGCCTGGACACAAGGTCGAATACAAACTATCGCTAACGCTGTTCATGAAATACGGGCTGCGGGTTACGCTCCATCCCCGCGTCACAGTTGCTTATTGAGGAGGGGAGGTTAGGTGGGAGAAGACGACGGCATTATGGGTATGTTTGACCTACAAGGAGACTAGGTTGTGAGTGTATACCCTTCCCCCCCTTATTTTTCCTTTGGCTGCAAATACCGATAAGCTCTTGACAAAGTGGGTAGTTAGGGAGCTACTTCGGCAGATTATAGAACACAATTTCTAAGGTTGAAGCTATTTGCTAGATTTAGGCGTTGTCTCTGTTCTGATAAGAATTTCTAAGTGGTTGGCGCTGGCTTCGTCCGGGGCATTGGTATTACTTCAAGTGTAAAAATGGCAAGTTGAAGAAACAGTGGCATCCCCGACTAGGTCACCCGTTCGTGACAATATGATCGATTACTACCCAATTAGTTGTGATTCACTTGAGTGATCAAAGAGAGAGAGAGAGAGAGAGAACGAGAGCGAGAGAGAGAGAGATGTGAATAAGGCTGTGGTGGGTGTCCGTTCACATCCTAGCTGCCGTGGACAGCAGCATTGTGAAAGTAGTCCTTGCATGTACTCTATGAATATATACATATCGATTACAGTTTATTCTTTTACGGGAGTGTTACTTTTCCTCCAACAATGACTGTTAAAAAGGAAAAAAAGAAAAAAAACGATTTGTACTAGGTTGGTAATTGAAGAGTCGAGTTCATTGGGTATTGGCGCATAGGTTTGTTTGGCCCTCTTGTTCTCCACGCTGGCTCCGCGTCTCATTCGTTCCGCCTAGCTCTGTACCAGTTCCAAGATCAACCCTGTATCATTACAGAGCGCATAAGCAACTCCAGCATGTGGGAAATCGCTGTGACGATCGCTCCTGTCTTGTTTCTCTGGCCGCATCTTCTATAGTACAGCTCACATTCTCTCTCTCCCTCTGTAAACACCCTTAACTCTAAACCCATTCATGGTTCACGCCTCAAGAGGAAATACCACAATCTCTACCGTTATGTCCCTGCATCGGACAGCCTTCAGCCAAGGGTAGTCCAAAGAGATCGAATGAAGCAGGTGGGAATCCGCGTCGTCACGCGTTTCGGCACCATGTGACACGGCAGGGAAAAGCACAAGTCAATCAGCCAGGGGGTGACGATGACGCGCGTTGATCAGGCATCAGCAACAAAACAAACAAACGATTTCCCTCGCTTTTCCCACAAAGCCAGTATCGAAGGTCACAGTTTTCCAGAACTTGTCAAACGCTTTCCCACAACAAGTAGTTCATGTAAACTAACCCACAAAAACACGTGACATCTGTGTGAGTGTGTGTGTGTGTATGTGTGAGTGTGTAAGTCAAACACTCTCGACTCTTGTGTAGGCCAATGAATCAAACGAAGCCTGTCTTGGATAGCAACTGATGTCTTGGATTGTTAGCATGAGAAAGCAAAAAAGATGAAAAAAGTTGGGAGTTGTTATTGTGATGCACTCATGCCATTTTTGTGAGAAACTCCTCTTCGTTTATGTCTTACTCCAGAACTGTCACTGCTTCAGGGCATTGAAAGTTGCATGCCAATAAAGCACTCCCCACCTCCCCAGCTGGTGAGACGTGCAGAAGGCTTGGTACCGAAGCAAAGTCCCCAAGCCAAAGCTCTTCTCTGCTTCGGTGGAATCTCCACACCTCGCAGTCTCTTTCTATCTCTAGGAGGGAAAAGACGGGGCACTGCCACATGGAAGGCTGAGAGTGGTTGAGATGTCGCCTCATCCTACCCGTTCATTGGGTTAAGGGTGGTGCCCAATGGGATAAGACGCAGCCTACGTGGAGAACATTGGCCTCGCTGTCATCCAGGCTGGCTATCTCACGTGGAGTATCATCGATGCCTTGGCTCGGATTCCTGGTCCCCCTCATTCATTGCCCTTTGGATGGATGTAAGTACGCCTGTCTGGCTTTCTCCTCGAATCAGTCTCATAGGGCATAGCTAACATGATGACGATGTTGATAAACAATAATAATAATAAATTAATTAATATAAATATAAACGTATATATGAAATAATTCGACTTTTTTTTAATATTATCGCATGAAGAGTATTTAAATATATATATATATATATATATATATATGCATGCAAATATTTAATCAACCCACCTAAATCTTAAATTGATCCACCATGTGACTTTTTGGTTTGAAATTGTTCTAAGGTTTCTCTTGGTTGTTCATAGCTCCCTTGTATTAGTGAATCGTCTATTAATTTAAGCAAATGACTTTGGACATCCTCTTGCAAATGGGATGCAATTACCTTGTATGTATTGTTTATAGCAACTAAAGAAAGCTTTGGATGTTTGAACCTTCATGTGTTTGTAATGCCATTGTTGTAGGTCAATTTTAGATTTAGGTGAATCAATTTAATATTCTCATATATATATATATATATATATATACTTATATGCATTGAGATTATTTACATACAATGTTCAGTTGTGACATGCTTTATTTTAATCAAGTTTTGTTGTTAATATTCAAAAATTACCACAATGTTTAATAGTCCAAAGCCTAGACTCATATGCACAAATCATATGCAATGTGTAACAATAAAACATACTTTAAATATGTTTTAGGTAATTCATTATTCTTTTAAAAATATAATTAAAAAGAATCAAACTTTATAAAAATTTGAAACAAAATCACATATTTTATTCATCTGTGTGCACATAAGAATTAGTGTAAATTAACCCACAAAACAATCAATAAAAATATAGTATGATTTTGTTGTAATATACAAGAATCCACTTTTTGCACACACAATTGTGTATCTTTATAATTCGTAATTATAATTTCACGTCTTTTACTTCTTATAAGAAAAATAGTGAATTTGTACTAAATTTAAAATAATTGATTAGTTGAACTCAATTGATCAGTTTGAAATTGGCATTTGCATCATCCACCTTGCACAGATTTCGATATTGTATCTTTAAGTAGGTTCAAAAATAAACCTTTGTACATAAACCTATGTATCTCCCAAGCAACTTTATAATAATAATAATAATACTAATATTCAAGGCATTTATTTGATTTGCCAAGATACAAATATCTCTCTATGAAATTTATTAACATGCTCAAGAGTTTTTATTTATTTATTTATTTATTTATTTTTTTAATATAGATTCAACTTCAAACTATTGTATATTGAGATGTAGGGTCTATAAATCTTAGAACTAGATTCCATTAATTATTCATACGTAATACTTTTCAACCATAGCAAGTATTATGCAAAAAAATAGAAAAAAGAAAAAAGAAAAAAGAAAAAAAATTACAAATAGATAATATCTATATCAAAATACCATGAACTAAGTATATCTCTTATAAAATATGTTGTTCTACATGGATTTTATAAATGCATTATAATTGAAAGATTATGAGAATAGGCTACCAACTACTGATACACAAATAGTTTAAAATGAACCCTCTAAGGGCCATATTGAGCTTCAAATTTTAATACACTGCATTTGATAAGAATTCACAAAACATACAAAATAGAAAAATAATTTAATCAATAATTGTAGAGGAATGTATATAGACTATTTGAGAGCAAAAAATTGATAAGATGTAGTTCATAAGAGAATTTAAAATTATTTTTAATGAAAAATCAACATGACATAGACTAATATAATATAGTAATCTAAGCTCGTTTAAAAAGAAAAAAAAAAAAGAAGAAAAATAACCAAACAATTTTCAAAAAGATGGATTAGGCATGATATGTTAGGAACCCAAGATACATGGTTAACAATGCAATGGAACCATAATCCTCTCACAAAGATTAGAATTGCGTATTCTAATTCAGAGATGTGAAAAATAGCCTCCAAAACCAACATATACACTTCAAGAGATACATAGAATGATTTAAAAAAAAAAAAAAAAAAAAAAAAAAACTGAAAATGGTAAACAATAACATTACATTTACCAAGAAATATCAATATTAAAACAGTGACAAACCATCTAAAATATTTATCCACTTAAGCTTAGAAAGTTTCAACAACATCTGAGATATACATTTTACGTGCAGTTTTTATATAAAGAATAAAAAAAGATCGACGAATCGAATTCGTCTATGGTGTAAACATGCATTCGATGATGTAGACACCCGGATTTCGGTACCAGTGCATCATACCCGTGCATAATCAGTGCCAGTTCATCAGCTTCAGAGGTGCGCTTGAGCGCCGGCTTGTTTGCGTCTTGTGAGCCCGGTTGTGGCGTGGAGGAAGTTTTTTGAGGTTGCAGGTGTGGGACGAAGAATTTGGTGGCGAGTTTGGGAGGGTTGTAGAAAAATCACGGAAGAGAAAGAGGAAGGGGAAGAAGAAGGAGAAGGAGGAGGAGAGGGAGCAAAATGCCGGTCGAGAGCGTGTTGGTAGAGGCAGAGACGGTGGAAAAGGAGGACGAAGGAGAGAAGCGGGAGATTGGGAAGCTGGCAGCATGGACAGTGAGCTCAAATAAGCCGGGGAATGGAGTTGAAATGCTGCGAGATAACAATCTCTTGACCTATTGGCAGTTGGGTTTCTTCTCGCATTCACTATTGCATCTCTGTTTTCGATTTTGGGATCATGTCTGCGTGTATCGGCAAGCCTCCGACCCTGTGTGTGCTGGATTTGCTCCCGTGACCGAGGAAATCAGTTTTGGTGGAGACCACTCTGTCGTTTGTGAAATGCGGGGGCATGCGAGACGACATCCAGCACAAACATTGGCGATCAAATGGGACTTGCATCTTCTCAATCAGTTTTTTCTTATTTCTTATTTCTTTGGTTTTGTGTCAGCCTGTAATGTTTCACTTGGTGTTGCAGATCTGATGGCTCGCAACCACACCTTGTCAATATTCAATTCCCGAAGAAAGTTCGACTACAGGTACTAACATTCATTATTAGTTTTAGTTTTAGTTTTAGTTTTTTTTTGTTTAGTTTTTTTTAATGATTTGTTGTGGAGTAGAGCAGCTTCAATCTTGTGTTTATGTATGAATGAATCACATTATGCTCCTTTTCTGGTTGGTTCTTAAACCCCAACTTTGTTTGATCAGATGTTAGGTTTTAGATGGAGCATTGGGAGAGTTACTCATGGTTGTAAGTATAGTCAGCCCTCATTCTTTCTCGTCCTCTGACGTTTGCAGCAAGTTGCGCTTTTCGTGGATTTCAAGGTCGATGAGAGTTACACCCCGAACAAGATATCAATTCGAGCTGGCAATTCTTTTCATGATCTTCGGGTAAATTACTTCAACTCCACGCATAGAGTCAATCTAGGATTTGTATTGAAAATTTCTGTCGTTTCCGAGAAGCTAACGTTCTGTTCGAAGAAATGCTTGAAAAAATAGTGCGCATCGTGTGTTTCTAAATGCGCTTGTGGTGAAAAGAACGGAACGAAACACGATTTTGTTGCTTTTCGGAATGACTTGTACACCTATCTGAATGAGAATCTCGCACGACCTGTAAAGTTCGCCTAGCCCGTGTACTTGCTCTACTCATATAGTTACGTGTTTGAATTGCAGGAAATAAAGGTCATAGACCTTATGGAGCCCATGGGCTGGGTTAACATCTCATTGTGCAAGAATGATTCCAAGTACGTAAATTTGTTCTGCAATGAAATGTGACTTTGTTGAGAAGAAAATGTGTTGTACTAAGTTGGATCCCACCACAGCCCTTATTTGACATTCACACGCATGTATGTGCAGAGACTTTTTGCGTGCATTTTTCGTGCAGTTGGCAGTCTTGTCAAATCATCAGAATGGAAGAGATACCCACATTCGGCAGATTAAGATCTATGGCCCTCGCCAGTAAGCCCTCTTCCAGATAGACTTGTGGGTTTTTTCATCGTGTGGTGTATTTTATTATATCATATTATATGTTTGTTACACATCTTGATACTTGCTCTTTCATTTTAACTTTCTTCCCTTGCATAAGTGATCACCTCATATGCTGCATTTCAACCAGTTTTGGAAAAAGTTGAAGCTGGACCGAAACTTAAATGAGCTTATTTTATGGTGAGTGCCCAAAATATTGCAGTGTATGATGTGGAATTCTTCACTCCACAGGTGCTCTAATACCGGTTTTGTAAATGTGCAGAACGGCTGTAATTGGGCAGCCCTTTGAGTTTACTACGATTGAGTTTAGTTCACGCTCCACTATCCGCTAGCTTGCAAAACAAGCACCCCACGGAACAAAATTTAGGTCCTGAAAAATGATTATCCTCTTTAAATGTAACATACTTTTTTTTATACATTTTTGTTTTTTTTAATCTTTTTTTAATCTTAATTTCTTCATTTAAGTGGTAGCAGTGCATTTTGCCTCTCGTTCTTATTAGCTGGGTGCTTGTTCTACCTTGCCGTCAAAGTTGTTGCTGAAAGCAAGAATTCTCTACTCATTCCTAATCCTTTTATTTTTATTGTTTCATTTTTATTGTTTTGGTGGTGGTGTATTGAGGTCAACTTTGGATATTGTGTCTACCATCCTTTACTAAGGCCTTAAAGTAACCAAATTGATGTCTTGTCACATTGAAATAGACATTTATAATTCATTCATCTTTAATTAAAATTTTAAAAATAAAATATATGCATTTGTTTATGTATAAACTTGTGTTCTTATTATTCTTTTGTTAAATGGTTGTCACAGAGTTTCAATGTTGGAATTGAAAATCAATTGAAAAGATTCTTAAGATATTATAATTTTATTTATGAAAAGAATAAATATGGGTTGTTGAATTTCTATTTAAGATTTGCCTTATCCTGAATCTACTACCTTTTGATCATGGTTAATTATTCATATATCAAGAAATCCAATTCAAAAGGCTATTCATTTAGACAAAGTATTATAAGCCTTGTTTTTGTTTCAAATAAGGTTCTCAATTCTTTTAGAAATTGTCTCTTTCTTAAACAAAATTGCTTTGTTGGTTGCTATACCTTAAGCTTTTTTAGCCATAAAAGTGCATTTTTAAAAATATTTTACTTTAATGTTTTTTACCAAAATTATTAATTCATAATTGTTAAATCAATAATTGTTTTACTTTTATAAAGCCACATTAGAAGCCACCTTAAAACTTGATGCTTCTGCCACAAGTCTTGTGGTTCTTAGAGAGCTTCTACTAAGATTTCTTAATAGCTAATATACATAGAAAGCTAAGTGAGACCATCCTAAGTCTTATTAACACCTTTCTTATATTTTAGTCTTCGTTGAAAACTCTCTAGTACTTTTTTAAAATTAGTCACTCTAGTTTTTTTTTCCATCTTTTATCTATTTCTTTTCTTCTCACTTTTTTTCTTCTTCAATGATATATGAATGTATTTTTTTATATAATATTATTTAGATTTCTGTCTTTGATACCATATATCATCCACTTGTATTATCAAGATTAAATGTCTTAGATTAAATTCATCGATTTATTCATATTCTTAAAGTACATTTCTTTTGCATCTTTCTTATGTTTATTGGCTTGATTTTGATACTTTTATTGAGCATTTTTAAGGCAGATCTTGCTTGTCTATTAGATTAATTTTCTTTTAATAATCTACTCTTTTTATTATCACAAAATAAATCAAGGTGTAGATTCATCTTTCAATCTTGCACCAAAAATTATATTGTTATTAGTGCATTGAATTTTTTTCTTACTTTAATGGACAAAATTCTAATATTTTTAATATTGTATCATAACTAAATTTAACTATTAGAAGCCAATTGATCCAATTTCTATACATGTCTATAAAATAATGTCTTTGATACATATCAATGATATTATTTATTATCTTAGTTTTGCCATTTTTTCTCTTAATGCTAAAGTAAAGATATTATCACCTTAATTTCTAACTTTTTAATTATATATTATAAAATTGTTATATAAAGTTGTATATACCAATCATTAAATATGATTTTGGATATTTCATATAAATCTACTTTATTATTAAAAAATAATTATTGCTACATTATATATATATATATATATAATAGTTTTGATCTTTATAAGAATGAATCTTCTTATCTTATTAAATTTATCAATCATAACTAAGATTGCATTATACTTCTAATGACATAAAATTACATAAAAAAAACATTTAAATATATATGTCTATGACACTAATAGTATGACTTAGCCAATTTGTGTAAAGACTTTTTGATTCCCTTATGTTTTTAAATAGATAAGTCATAGTATTCAAACATCACCTTTTTTTTCTATTTTTTTCATAAAATATTGACTCTTATTTGCTTAAAAGAGATTAATCTAGTCTCAATTAATAATACTTCCCTATGATGTCTTTGTTGTTGGATTATTAATTATTGTTGTTGTTTTTTGTTTTGTTTTGTTTTGTTTTGTTTTTTTTTTTTTTTTCAAAAACGTCTAGCAATTATATGCATCTTTATCTTGATATATAATTTTCATAGGTGACTCTTACTTGATGTTATTTGATGTCCTTAAGCTTTAGAAAATTATTTTTACTATATTTTTTTAAAGCTTTGATAATTTCAAAATAATCATATCATTAAATGTTCTCAAGTATCTACAATTTAATGGACCCTTAGAAGTAAAAATACATACATTCAAATTTCCAATAAGATGAGTTTTAATATGTAAAGGTAGATCTATAATCTTAAGAAAAAAAAAAAATACCAAAAAAATCATGGATTTATTAGAATTATTTTGGTATTTTTTAAGAATAAAATAAAAAATTCTAAGTACTTGAATGTTGTCTTTTATAAGTTGAGAAAAAAAATTTAAATAAAAATTCAAATAATAAGTAAAAAATATAAAATTTTATAAATTTAATATTTTTTTAAAGAAATTTAGTTTTTAGATCATATTAGAAGTAATGAAGGAATAAATTTGGATCCAAAGAAAAATACAAGATCTTTCTTGAAACTTACAAATTATTATAAAATTATATAAAATTATATATATTCTTAATATTTTGAGACTAATAGAAAATTTCTTTAAAAAATAAAATAAATAAATAAATTATTAAGTGAAATGACAAGTGTGAAAAAGTTTATAAAGCTTTGAAAAACATATAATAAAAGAAACTTTTGAACTTTAGAGACTTTATAAGGAGATTTTGCATATGATATCAAGTCAATCTAATAATTAATTTTTAATTTCTTAATTAAGATTTAAGATACTAGTCTTATATCTTATTTTTTATCTTAAAATAAATTAAGATTTTAAATTTAACAAACTAATTCTTTTTCAAAGGTGAACTTTACTTCATTGACTTCTTATAAGTCGAAATTAGTCTTAAAATATAACTTCATCTGGAAATAAATTGGTGGTAATGATATTAAGAGATATTAAAACATTAATTCTTTTAGACTAAGTCTTCAAGTAAACTATTTTTTTTATAGAATTCTATCAAAGTGATATTTGCTTCAATCTCTTTTTTTAAAAAGAATCTTTTGGTTTGAGTTTATTACTTTAATCCTTAAAAACCTACTACTTAAAAAAATAGAATACTATGTTTAAACTTGATGATATTTCTTAATAAAGTGTCAAATTTTTTAAAAATTCTTTGGCTTGCTTTTAAGTACTTTATCTATATTTTATTTTTTTAGAATCAATAATAAGTACTTTTATAATAATTATTGTTTTTTTTTCTTTTTTTTCTTTAATTTTAAAATTTTAATTAATAATTTTAGGTCCTTTTTTTTCTTAAACCTTGAAAATATTTTATAGACTTTAGGTTTCATCTTTATTTTTCTCTATTTGATTTATCTTATGCCAATAATTTATTTTTTTTTAAAAAAAAGTGCCGAAGTATTTGCTATCTTTTTATTTTTTTAGGTTAATCAATCTTGAATTTAATTGTTTTCTTCTTTTTTGCTTATGCTCCTTTTAAAAAGCAAGAGGATTTCTTGAATTGCACTAATTACTACTTTGTCATAATTGGCACATGGATTTTTTCATGCATGTGTTTTAATCTTTTCTATAATTTTATTTAACATGTCTTCAAGTTGGCTTTTAAATATAATAATCATTGCAATTTTTTTTCTTAAAAATTTAATTTATTTTATTTGTGGAATTTATTTTTCAACTTATGTCTATTTATTTCTTTTTTATTATGAGGCTCTTAAAATTTTGACTTCTTTACTATTCTATTTAAAGTAATTTTATTTTTTCTTCAACCAATAGAAGAAAATCATATATAATTCTTTCTCTTTGACTTTATTTTTGAGATATATTCAACTTCTTATTATTAATTTCTAAGTAAGGGTTTTGTCTTATAAATATTCTAAAGATTCCTATATTTTTCTTTTGCCACAAAGCTTCTCAAAGGCTTGATCATGGATTCACCATCTTAAACATCTTAAGATATAGAATGTCAACTTTTTTTATCCACTTGCAATGAATGTTTTTCAATACCAAATTTTATCAAAATCAATATCAAGTGTAATGATCCAATATTTATTTCTTAGCTCTTAATAAACTTAATTTCATACACACATCCCAAGTTAGTATTTGAATAAGTTGTGATGCCTATGGCAATACACTAACTCTTGTGGCTCTAAGTCCCTTCATCCAAGTGACTTCTATCTTCTCATTTAGCTAACTTTGCAATTATTCATAGCTATCTTATTGTTGGTGACAAAGAAATAATCTCACTTTAAACTTTAGATATTAAGGTTGTTGGATTCAAGTTTGTTGTGACTCCACCAAACCACTCTTTATAGGACTAACATTGTTGGACTTGGGTCTACAACTTGCTAAAGCTCATGGTTTGAGGTTTTTGTAGAAGTAACTACTTTGAATTGTTGTTAGTGGTATGTGCAATTGATTTCATTTTTTTTTTTTTTTTAATAATTTTAATATTCATTTCTTTAATTAATATTTTTTTATAAATTTATTATAAATTTATTATTTTATTTTTTACATGCTTGAATTTTATATAAAATTTTAATTTTGTATATATATATTTATGCATGAACCCAAAAAAAGGATCTGTAATAAACATGAATATTTTCAATTATGTATATATATAAAAATTCTTATAGAACTTTTCAGAATGTTGTAGGCTACAAAAAATGAATTAATTCTTTGATACTTGTTAGAAGTATGTCCACTAGTGCCATATTGTTAAATGCATGCAATGTAAAATCTTCACACAATTGTAGAGCTTTTTGAAAGAGTTGAGATTCTCCTTACTTTGTTGTTATTATAATTATTATGTTAAAAAGTAAAAAAACACTAACTTGTAGTTTGGTAATTCATGAATCATCAAAAAATATATATATACCAAAAACATTTAGGTCTGTATGATTTATAAAACATGTATCAAACCTTCTGTATCAACCTAGAATTACAGAATGCATAAAACAAACCTCATTGCTATTCACCATAAACACATGCCTCAAAAATTATCCCAACATTGTATGCAACGTTGTGACTCAATGCCAACATTGGCGAGCTTTTTTTCATCCACCCTATATTTTTAATTTGAAGTGCTATTTGAGGTTATTGCTGGGTTGGATTCTCTGCACGGTCCAAATTATTAACCAATATCAAGGCTTGCAATGCAATACTAACAGCATAATACTGCTTAGGTGAACACTACAAAGTTAACACCAACGTCACTAGTACTATCAAAGTAATAATAACTGATGTACTCCCATTTCGAATGAACAGTCTCTACGGGATCAGCTACCTTAGCATGTGACATGAACAAACAGTAACTCTTAAGAACTGCACATCTTTGGCTGTGAAAAGACAGGCTATTGAGCATAAAATGCACAATTCATGACTTCAGAAAAGCAATTTATTATGTAGAGTAGCACCATGTCGGCCTCTCGCATCTTTGATTACAAATCTCTACAAACCGATTTCGGCCAACCCCCAAAGCTCCTAACTGATGTCTATTTGACATTCATCCACAAAAACTGTAGTGTACAGAAACTAACCTACTGTCACTCGGACACCTGCTGCACCGGTGGAAATTGATGAATGCTTTCACAACAGCGACATTAAGCTGTAGACCTGTTCGCATCCTCTTTCAGAAAGTCATTTACAATGATCGCACAACAGTAGTAAGAAGAACTAGAACAGCCACTTCTTTCCTCATGTGATTGTTCGGTGTTTGCAACCTGTGCTCCGTTGCGTCGTATTGAGGTCATGATGTTGTATAAAACGACATTTTATTAAGCTGGTCGAACTTGGCCGGGTGGCAAATCTACATCAACGGTCTGATGCGAAATCACAGCTGGCTCCAACGGTGACATATCATAAGATCGCCTTAATTCTATATCATCAATGAGGGGGCCGTCAGTCATGTCAATAATCCCACCTTGACTTGATCCCTGTTTTATAGCAGTCCCTGAGGGGATAGACATCTCTGAAAACTCATCATTCGAGAGGTCCTTCGGTGAGTTCTTAGCGTCCGAATGCCTGGGACTCTTCCCAGCACGTACATTTTCCATCTCCTGTCCAGTAGGAACAAATGTCCGAGTTCGGTAACGTTTCGGAGCACCTTCGGAATCATTGCTGTAGAGCACATAGTCGTGATACGTAGGAGCAAACTGCAATACAACTCCTTGTTAGTGCCCTAAAAGCTCTTATACAATAACTTCACAGTTTGTATGTAAACATAACAATGCAAAAATGACTTGGGTATTCTTAGCTGTCAGAACAGCTGTAAGCAAGTACCTGATGCAATGTGTCATGGACCACGTCAATTAGATTGAGAACATGAAATAGGCTCTGCCATGCATTACTTTCCATGCCTCCAACATTCGCCTCCGCATAATCCTTGTAAGGAAAAGCATAAAGATGAGCAAAAGCAGCAAGAAGCATCTCTCCACAAATCAGGACGTTTTGATAATTAGCGGCCTCCTGAGGAGTCTCGATAGATCCAGCCTCTGAGAAAAGAAATATTACCACACCCTGCCACAAAATCCCATTTCATTACATGCGGAGGAAGAAAACTTGATCTAAGCGAAAACATCTGACTACAACATGTAGTGCATCTCAATAAAGAAGCTCATTACAAAGAACAGGTTCCTCAAACGGACTTGACAGAATTAGATAAAGTATATGAACATATCAGCTATCCACCCGCTAAAAAAGTGAATTGGAAAACACGAAGAAACAAAAAAACAACAGGGGAAAAAATAAAATAAAATAAAACAAAGATGGAAAAGGATAAGTTATAAATCCAGTATTCTTACTTAATCAATGAGATATGAATTGAATACTCACTTGCCAGTACGTTAAGAAAACCACAGACTTCACTAAAACAAACTTGGGTAGAGCCTTGTACGGCGTTAGAAGATCCCTACAGGCTACGTAAAAGAGAACCAGTGCCCCAAGTGCACAAGAATATGCCATCGTGTAAATTAAAGTGATATACAAATAGCCTCCTCCAATGTAGAAGCTTCCCTCCTCGTACTTGTTGTTATAGTAAAGAATAAATGCTGCCAGAACCAGCAACGGCTTCAAGATAACAAACTGTAGGACTCCTTGCTTACACCTCCGAATGAACCGTCTGCAATACGAGTAAAACCGGTAAAGATATACAATCTAGAGCCACAAGAGGCAAAATTCCTAATACGTGATACCTAGGATAAAAGAATAAGCCTAAATGAAGAGGCGAAAATCTTCGCAGAAAGGAAGTGCATCCCCCAACTGGGAAAGTGGAAAAAGACTAACCCATCAAGTGGAATAGGTGCACAACAGCAAGTCATGAGATGCCATGAAGGCTGTAATACTTTTCCTGTCAGGCTAGTCACAACCTCCCCTGGTCCGCCAACCCAGGCAAGACACAGCGATAAGAAATTATAGATAACCCATGCCTCGTATCTGCACACAAATATCATCACGCACATGATTTAAAACATGTTGCAAAAATGGTATTTTGGCTCAGACATACTCCATCCTCACAACATCCGTAATATGCCGTGACATGCTCATCTGTCAATTGATGACCGTCTCACTGACACAATTATATAGAAAGCACGCTCCAGAATCTCACATGCCTAAGACACAATGAGAATTACTAACAAAGAGACACACAACAGAAATGGCAAATCTGAACATGGAGCTAAAAAATAGGATGCCGGAAGGTGGAAGAACAAAGACCACCAAGTCCTCCACACATTGAGAGGTTAAGCCTACACGGAAGGATGACCACCAATTCAATTCATTGGTTCAATCATTTCTGAAACTTTAAGACTTAGGTAAACACAGCTACACTGAAATTAGCACTTAATTTAACTCGCAATCAATGAGAAGTATATCTAATCTGATTACCTTTTGAACTAGTACTGTAATCAGAAACAACGACGATCAAAACTACGAGGAACACGCCTATAATAAACAGTGTCAGATTTAATGAAACGAGTTTCCAGAATAATATAAAATACAATAAAATAAAATAAAATCGTGACAAGTTCCATTCAGACACTCGTCCCACCTGCTAAAATAAAATGCCCACAAAACTACTGGCGATGCACTAAAATCACAATTTCTTTCCGAAATAGAACGGTATATAGCTAAGGTACTTACATTCCAATAATTGAATCGAAGATGATAGCGTTCTTGGGTAAAACCAGAGACAAAAATGACATCAATGAGTAGACCTGCACATCATTCAAATTCAAGTCAGTGAAAGAAATTCCAACATAGATTGATGACGACCCTTGGTATCAATCTATTCTGACTTAACAAGATAACTGTTGCAGGTGACGAGAGAGAAGAAATACAGGTTGAAAAACCTAATCTTGACGAATACCCATAGACCCAAAAAACTCTCTCTGGGACCATCAAAACTGAACGGTATATCATTCGTGGGCGCAAACTAAATCCCACAGTGACTCAAGCGTTTCGCTAAGAACAGGTCTAGTATTACAAGCCTACTGATCAAGGAGGTAGTACAAGTATATTGCAACTTCAACTCAAGTGGCCTACTTCTGTACGTTCAGATCTGCTAACCCACAACTTAACATTTCTACGAGCCCAAAATTTCCATAAGAGCGGGACGCACCAATCAATAAAAACCCTATCATCTGGATCTAAACAACAAGAACCCAAGTCTTTCAAACTACCCGAAAGAGACAAGAAACCTGTTAGACAGTAATCCACCCCAAAGAAAATCTAATTTTTTCTCGATAGAACTCAAGCGTCCACTACAAAACCAAACCAAACCAAAAATGCCACAAAATCAGGTTAGCGAACTCCGGCAAGGGCTTCAAACACTTACAGGCACCATAAGTATAATCCGAACAGTGTAACGCTGGTAGATAGGCTCCGTGTAGTTACACAGATGGCGGTAGATATGCTGCAGCGCCACTCCACAAGCCCCAACCGTGCACACAAACGCAAACAAAACCTGGAGAAAGACCGCCATTCCGCTCGCCATGGTTACCTCGCTACTACCACCACCACCGCCGTCGCCGCCAGCAGCACCACGGCCACCGATCCGCCAATGTCCTACTCTCTCTACCTCCAGAAACGAGCCACACCCATCAAAGCAAACCCCATAACGACTCCAATTCCCTCATCAATGGGTCCCAAAACCCAAACCCTCCTCCGCCTCACGTCGCAACCCACGCAACAACAATATGCCACATAATCACGCCATCACCATCATCACCATCCTCCTCCTCCTCCAGTGCTCCTCTTCCTAATCCTCCTTACACCACCACCTTGTATCACCATCATTCTCATCCCCATCGTGTTATTCTCTTGCTCATCCTGAGCTTCTTCGCACTGTTCACCCTGAGGAGGAGCATTACTGTGGCTCTGCTGCTACATTAGCGAACTTCACACATGAGAGAGTGAGGAAGTAAGTAAACAAACAAACAAACAAAACAAAACAAACAAACAAACAAAACAAAACAAAACAAACGAGCCGCGAGCTGGTGCTTGATTTCAGGCAGCAACCATCGCCGGAAGGGGAAGTGGGCACCCAGATGCTCCGCAGCTGCGCGGAAACCGGGTCCCTTAGTCGGGGAAGATCACGAGATGAGGCCGTCGATGGATGTATTAATGGATGGATGAACAATGTAGATGAAAACTGCACGTCCTTGTTTGGCCAACGAAAAAAGTTACGTATTCATCTGTTGGGAATATATGTGGTGATGTTGACTGTGATTGTTTCGGGCATGATTCAAATGTTGTGGGAAAAAGTATCTGTACTTGTATAAATGTTGAGTATTAATATATACTAGATGAACCTTTGTCGTTGTCATGGATAGTTTTTATTGCGGTTGACAATATTTGGAAAATCCCAGTAAAATTACATTATTCAAGAATTTTGTTTATTAAATGATATTATATGAAATGTATTGGAGTTGGTTCCTTGTGAGCTCAAACACAACACTATCCAATTTTTCACCAATGACCATATTTTCCACCCACCCTTCATGCTTTAGAAAAAAGCAATAACTAATTATTAAAACGAAAATATTGAGATCTTCCAATAGAATTGTAATTATCTGCTAGAACCCAACACTACCAAAATAAAATAAAATGTGGTTTTTCAACACGAATCTCTTTGTTTTAGTATATACTATTCAACTTTCTTTTAAAAATTGATGTCCCTTCAATTGTACTCCGCTCAAGAAGTTGCAATTCAAAAAGATCCTCCCTTCTATTTGGTATGGTCATTATTTAACAACAGGGCAGATATTACTATTTTGAGTGTTTTGTATATAATAGTAATTATACATTTTAGAAATTATATAATAATTTTTAAAAAATCAAAAATTATACATAAATTTTCTTAAGTATTTTTTTGTGTAATACTCCGCAATGCAATGAAATACACATAAAATTTTGAAAATTTTAAATATCTAAAAATACTCTCACTCTGCAATGCAAAGCTTGGTAACATGATTTAAAAAGAATAAAATGTATGATTTTTGAAATCTTTGAAGTTTTGTCAATTTTTTTTTTCAATTCAAATCATAAATTACCTTCATTATGTATTCTTACTTACAAATTCTTCAACAAAAATTCAAATATAATGCACAAATAATCATGGTATAAAAAATAAAAACTTTTTGCAGATGCTTATTGCGAGTATGGAGTGCAACTTCAAGAAAGCACAAAAAAACTGCAATCATGTCTTATTTTTTGTTAAGGACCAAACTTCACCTTCAATTGCATTGCATCCATGCAACAAACAATACATTGCTAAATCCATCCACATTTAATTAAACTCCATCATGACACATTTCATTAATCTAGTTCAATCAATTACTTTTGTAATGGTCACACCATATTGCAATCCTTGACTATCATAGTATACTTGTCATATTTCTAAGATCTCATTTATGAATTGATAATCCACAATCTCAAAATTCTTCTTCTCCAAAATGCAACATCCAATGATAATATTCTATACCAAAAACTACCAACATCAATACTTTAATTCCTAAATTCTACACTATCTATGCCTTGAGCCAAAACCTACAACATAAACCCCAGCAAGTAATGCTCCAATTGACATAATTAGACCAAAATTAAATTACGTACAAAAATATGGTCATTAATATCAAATAACAATTTGAAAGACTATGAAACCTTGAATATTTAAATCATAAGAAAGAAAGAGAGGAGGGAAGGAAGGGAGAGGGGAGAAAAAGAGAGAGATTTAGGATCCAATATTAAAGAAAGACTTGGCTCTTTGAATTAAGGCCAAACAACTAAAAAAGTACCAACTCACCAAGATGCATGTTCTTGCCACTTTGATTTTAAACGCCCTTTGGACTTTGTAAACATCTTGTGATTGCCTTTTAATCAATCATAAAATGCCTTGTGGATTTTACAATCTTTACTATCAATGCATCAATAGAACTTTGACATTAACATCATTTTGTTTTGCTTCATTCACTACAATTCAATTACTAAAAAAAATACTTGATAAATATATAATAAAGCTAAAGAATGTTAATAGTATAGCTTTGCCATCAATACAAAGGAGGGTAGGAAAATGCCCTATGAATTTCCATGTAGAACTCCTCAATTAATTATAAAATATAGGGATGAATAATAAAATGGGTTGTGAACTCCATAAAACATGAATCTTTTTGATGAAAACAAAGATCTATATATGTGGTGAATGAAAGCCATTACTTATCTCTTTAAGTGATCTTAATATATAGATTATTATTATTATTGTTTTAAGTGATAAAATCAAATGAATGTTCTAACTTTATAGACTTTGATTCATTGTATATTCATGAATTCCATGATTAATTATGAATGAGGGATGTTGTTGTGATTTTGTAACTTTGGAGGTTGAAGTTATTAATTAGAGTATGTAAGAAACTTTGTTTTTATTTTATTGATTTGCAATAATAGTTAAGGTGCATATTTTTATGGCGAGTGATGCAATCGCACCACATCTTTTGGCCAATTGAAAGTTTTTCATTGAATAGCTTAATATTATGTGTCAAGTATGTGAATGATAATTTTTTGGAATTAACATTGGTTCCTTGTTGTACAATCTTCTTGTCCATATAGAAGCTATACTCCATCTACTTTTGTTAGCTTTAATAAGAATTTTTTTTAAACTTGCAAATACTTTTAGAAACATAATGCATACATGTGAGTTTACAAAATTCTATAAAGTAATTATAGATCATAGCAAGTGGCTTCTTGCTCTAATATTTTCTTTTATGTTAAATAACTCACTATTTCATCAATTTCTTTCTCATGCACCGACAATTAGCTCCATTCATTCTTTTTTTAATATTGATGGAATTGAAGTTGTTGAATGCAAGGAATACAAAAAATTTAACAATGGCAAAAAATCTAAAAGTACAAGGAAATGAAGGTGTGGATTGAAATAGGACCAGACTATCTCAAAAACCTAAGATCCTTCTAATCTAAAGCAATATAAAGCCTCATTACAAAATAAGACAAAACAAACCAAAATAAAATTGAATAAAATTAAATGTAATAGGATATGAAAGACAAAATTGAATAAACAGAAATAAAACAAAACATAACTGAACAGAAAGATGCAAAACTAAATTTTACTAAGAGAAAGGATCTAAAGCCATACTTGATCAGATGCCCCAAAAAGCCTCAATTAGTTCTATTTATACCTTGTCCTACCACCCTAGATTTTCTAGAATATTCTTAGATAGTGGACTCCACCTAGATAATTGCCTTAAATTTCTTTTGTAGAAGGTTCTATAGTAGATTCCATCTACATAATCACCTTAAGTCTTTTCAAGAAGGTTCTATGGTGAATCCTACCTAAAGAACCATTTTAAATTCTTTTTAAAATATTCTAAAATGGATCCTATTTAATCCACTAATCTAACTTCAATTCTAGAAACTTCTATAGGTCTAACTATCTATATAATTATCTTATCTATACCTTGTCACAATTAATCTCATTCTATTAATGTGGAACTTCTTTGTTTTACTTTCAATGGTATCTCCAAATTGTCTCTTCACAATAGATGATATTTTGTACAAGTTTCCACGTTGCATCATAAATGGGATAATCTTTCCAAAAATCTTTGTACTAAAGTTGTGGATGTCTACTACCATGACAAAGGTAGCAATACTCTAAAATATTATCCACTTCATATTCTTATTAGTCATCAACTACAATAGGTGGTAGTGGTGGTTGGTGTCCATCCAAAAAGTACTTTGGCTCGGTATGAAATTCCTTCAATTATAAAATATAGAAGACTCGACAGACTCAAATATGTTATAGAAGCTCGAGGTGGTATGCAATATTAAAAATTACTGCAGAAATACGAAAAGGTCTAAGCCACCGAGGTGCTAGTTTATGGATTTGGGTCGATGTAGCAAGTGAGAAGTTGGCATTGAAGAGTAATACTTGATCATCCTTTCGAAAGGTCTTGTATTGCCAATAGTTATGCGCATACTGCTTCTATCAATTTTGTGTAATAAAGAGGCAGTGCCATGCCTCTTGTAAGGCCATTGGAAATTATTGTATAAATTCCAACTACAAATGCATGCAGTATATCTTCCAAGGTTAAATTTACACATTCTATTTGTCCATCTGTTTGGAGATAGAAGGCTATAGACATGACAAGTTGTGTGCTTAATAGCTTGAATAAGACTTACCAAAAACTTCTTGTGAAGCATGGATCCTGATTTGAAATAATGACACAAGATAATCTATGGTGATGAAAGATGGTATCAAAAAAGACTCGTACAAGCATTGAGGCATCAATATCCAAGCGTACTATGGCCAAGTGAAGTTGCTTGAATAGTCAATTCATAAAGATGGCAGTTGCAATATGATTATGAAGCATCTGCGGCAAATATGTACTGAGATCCATTGTCACCTACTCCCAACCTGCCATAGATAGTGAAATTGGCTCCAATAGTCTAGGAGACATTGCGTTGGGTGCTTTATTACATTGATATGACTTCCAAAAGCATACAAAGGCTTAAACATCATAATCCAAACTTGTCCAAAATCATGTCCTTGAGATTCATTCTAGAATCTTCTTTCGTTCCAGATATCCCGACATTGGGATATCATATTCCTCTTGAAGTATACTTGTCCAAAATTTAGCATTATCAAATACATAAATTTATTTTTTGAAATAGAACAAGCCATCACTAAGAGTATAATCTTGATATTATATATCACCCACCTTCAACCGATTGGTAACTATCTTAAAATAAGCATCTTGATGCATAGCTTCCTTCTATTTTGTCTCTTTGATTAGATCTGAAATGCTATTACTAATGGTAGCAACTTCTATCTTGTCTTTCGATTTATCTTTCAAGACTAATCTCTCCAATAAGCTAAGTGATACAATATGTTGTTGCCTTTGCTTGTACTCAAGTTGGATATTAAAAAGCTGTAACTATTTTTTCCAACAATGATGTCAAAATTTCATATTTTTCAAATGCAAATCATGTTATCAAGGATCATTGGTTAATCTGAACAACCACTAACAATCCCAATAGAT